AGGTGCTTAAGTGTCCTTACCACTTGCAGAATGGTGGGGTTGCAGCCGATGATGAAGGGCAGGCTGCGGAAGCCCTTGATGCGGTGAGCGATCCTCACGGGCAGCTCTTTGTGCAGATACTTGGCACTGCTCTGGATCACACACACACAGAATTGAGGGTGGTCAGAAGAAAAGTGGTATTATTACTGACATTTCACTGTAGGGTTAAACAATTTTGGATTTTTCTGACAGGCTTTTCAATTACTGTTTGATTTGCAATTTATGCTTTGATAGTGAGACTCTGTTGTTTGGTAGCATTAAGATTTGAGAGAGGACTGAAATATGAATTGCTAAATTAATACAAAAATCCAGTGCATTTTTAACATTTGTAGAGGTCTAAAGCACATTTCTTTTTACAGAACAAGACATCATGATCATTTGTTGTTTGTCAAGTACATTACAATAAATAACTAAATAACTGTGCACCTTGGATTTAATTAATTTCAATTGCTCTTTTGTTTCAATTGCGATATATCTTACAACCTTACTCCACAAAGAGGTTAACCACACCAATTCTGATAAGAATGTAACACTGTCTTGCAAGTGCCATGTTCGTAAATTAATTTGTTTTAAGACTGTGTCTTTGAGGGGACCTTTCTGTACTCACTTGTTTTGTTCTATTCATGTGAGTAGCTGAGCACTATTATAGAAGTGTATCTAATATCACTGGCAGGTTTCTTTAGTGTGAAACACTGATGCATGGTTTGATTCTCTTGGAAGAAGAGGTATATAACCTGGAATGCTGCACAATGTCTTTAAGAAGTATGTATCGTCCACCTGAAACCCAGCATTTCAGTGATTTGTTAAAACTAAGTAGACTGTATTGTTGAAAGCCTGCTTTAACAGATGCTACTAAATCCATTGTAATGCATTACTTTTGTTCTTAGATAATGGAGAGGGCCTGGTCAAACCCCCGCTCCTCCCTCCAGCCTCCAGAGTAGGTCAAAGGGGAGGACTGCATTTGGGAACAACAGCACTACTTACCAGGATGTGATGTCCATCTGGAGATTTACCCGAGTACAGCAGTGTGGCCAAAGTCAACCGCACAGACGCCTGGACATAAGAATTCTCCATGTTATGATCATGTTAATATTTCAATAAATGCTTTGAGAAGTCTGTGAGAGGCTTCTAGGAACACCCACTTTGTACACGAACAGAAACTATGGACCCAAGACAGCAGAACTATACAGTACAAGATAAAACGTGTGTAAAGTGTGTTACGGACCAAGATGAACACGATTAAAGTAAACCTCATACACAGAAAAAGTGAGTCATATAAACGAATAAGGCGATGAGAGTAATTTGTAATCATATTTAGACTCGAACGATCAGAAATAATCGATAAGTGAATGTTGTGACAGTAGCTCAGAAGCGGAGAAAAGCCTGTGGTCCAGCCTGGTCCAGCCTGGTCCAGCCTGGTCCAGCCTGGTCCAGCATGTGGTCCAGCATGTGGTCCAGCCTGACAGACAGTGTTGAGTCGAGGTCACTGTTGTGTAACTCCGCTCGCACACTACAGTACCGGAACACTGCAATGTCATGTGCACATGAGCTGACAGGCTGCCGCTGCACGCACACCACAGTCTAATAAAGCCTTCACTGGGTGTCAGTGTGTCGGTTAAACATTGACAAAGTCCCTGGTCCGGGTGAATTTAGTGTGGACACAGTAAGCGCGGTGTCACACTTCCCGGTGCACTGGCAGAGCAGCGCTAGCAGCTAGCATACGTACTTGACAGGCTACACTAGTGTTAGCGTCGAGCCGATCCAGCCCCACACACACAGCCCAGAACAACACAAGCACACAAACACACAAACACACAAACACACAAACCCAGCTGCACTCACCTTCTCGGCCGAGACGTCAATGGCCGACTGGTTGTAAAAGGATGTAACGGTTTTGGATCTCTCCCGGGCCAGCTCCGAGAGGCCCTGCACGGAGGAGGTGGAGCGCAGCCTGCGGATCCCCGAACAGGACATCGGAGGTACATTGTTGATGATGGGAACCAGCAAAAGCCTTCCGAGGCCCGGTGTGGCCCGGCGACAGGGACCGCTCAGCATCTCCACAGCTACCGCCACAAAGCCTGCGCGCATCGGGACAGCTCGCAGTCGGTCGGAGACTTTCCACTAGCAGGCCATTCGGGCCGAACCGTTCACAAAAGCACTCATCATACAGTAGGGCCCGAAGAGAGGGTACAGAAAGGGCTTTGTACGCGCCGGGGCGGGTGAGAGGAACGGTCCTGGGGGCTGAGCCAATCAGACGAGGAGGGGCGGGCAGCATCATCTGAGCTCCACTATGAGCTCCACCATGAGCTTCACAGCGCAGGGTTCCCTTGATTTGGTCCAGAAAGGTCATTCAGTATTAGGAAAAGACCGCATACCACAGAAGAGGTCTCAGAGTAAATGTCATTTCACACAGGAAAAAGCCTACCACATCTATAGGCCATGTTTATTTCATGTAATCATCATGTTTTGCTTTTCACTTCGAAAAGCTGCTGAATGAACCAGACCCTTGCAACGCTGGGTTTGCATCATAGACACTCGTATGTTTAATAAACTAACTTCCTTTGACCAATTCTAACGCCTCACTCGAGGAAGCTTTTAATAAAGGATGACATTATCAGAGCGGATTATCTTTGCACGTGACAATAGGCTGTATGATTTCTCTTCCTATCCAAGGTGCTTTGAAGTTTTTTTTTTTCCATTATGGCCATCAGTAACATCTAGAATTGTGCACTTATTCTGGTTGTCTTCATGGAGATGTCACTGCTTTGCTTAAAACCTATGGCATGAAACAGAGAAGTAAGCACGTAACACAACCAGGTCACAACAGGTCAGATCTGTGGAGAGGCTCACCTACTCACAGTGAGAATTTTTTTAAAGAAATATAAACAGCAGGACTGCTGTCCTGAAGCCCTGGTTGAGTGTCCTCCCCTTTGACCAAAGTTCTTCTTTGCAGTCTGTGGTCCTCGCATCCCACCACCATCCGTCACCAGATGGAAGATGGACGACAAAGGCTGTGGGCGCGCACCTTTGTCTATGTCTCTATCACGTATGGTCTCTGGGCTGTTCCAGGAGCTCAAGGCTGATAGGGCTCCAGTGGTTCATGATGAATGATTTAGACTCTATGGAAATAAGAAATTCTGTGAGTAAAAATGCTCCACAACACAAGGTTCCAGAGTAAGCTCCACCTGAGAGTCCAGGTTTGCTGTGTTCATGTCATAGACTGTATGGTTCACATACATTCATTATTGTTTGGGAGTAAACCTTTGCGCCCCCTGCTGGACAATGCATGTGAGGCATCACTAATTGAAATTCGTGACGTAACTAGAAACTGAAAGCTGTTGTGATTTTGTGCTATACAAATAATACCAATAAATGGAATTGAATTTGAAAGTATTTGACATAAAATTTGCTGAAACTTGTTTGTCAAAAGTAAACCAATGAACTTTCCTTAGGAATTCAACTGGATTAATATGTTTTAAGCATTTCTGTCCAAGAATGAAGTTACTTTATATTTAGCTGAGACCAATGCTAAATCAGAGTAAGACTGTTCACTGACATTGTCACTGAACAACAAAAACAACATTAATACAACATTACATTTGTAATGTATAATAATATATAATGTGTATTATTGTCAGGTTTAAGCCCACCTAAACATTGTAAAAGTAAGAAGAAAGACAAGAGATTAATATCGTTTTCTCATGAGGAGGGCGGACAGAGAGTGCATTTACCGTTACAGTCTCTACCCGCTCTGATGCACTCTCCGCGTCTCCTCTTTTTATTGTCATAAGAGGGTCCCTAGTTACAATGGATGTTTCTCTAAAGGGGAGGGGTTGAAAACAGCAAAAAACAGTAGAAACATCAGACATGATTTCATTGTGCAAATATGTATGTCAGCAGCCAGCAGCAGGTGGCCGATAAGGTGTAGCATCTTTGTAGCATCTTTAGGAACAGCGCTTCCCTTCCTTTCTGCCAACCTTGAGAACTGTCCTCTTTCCCAGCAAAGAGCTGAATAAGTCATTGTTTTCGCGGTGCGCAGAGAGGGTGACAGGTCACTGCATAGTTATTAAGCACAAAACATTATTCACACAAAAACAATACATAGACCCCGAGATATGGTCATGAGCTCTGGGTAGTGACTGAAAGGACAAGATCGCGGATACAAGCACTCGAAATGGGTTTCCTCCGCAGGGTGGCTGGGCGCTCCCTTAGAGATAGGGTGAGGAGCTCAGTCACACGGGAGGAGCTCGGAGTAGAGCCGCTGCTCCTCCACATCGAGAGGAGCCAGTTGATTTGGCTCGGGCATCTGTTCCGGATGCCTCCTGGGCGCCTCCCTCGGGAGGTGTTCCGGGCATGTCCCACCGGGAGGAGGCCCCGGGGAAGACCCAGGACACGCTGGAGGGACTATGTCTCTCGGCTGGCCTGGGAACGCCTCGGGGTTCCCCCGGAGGAGCTGGAGGACGTGTCTGGGGTGAAGGAAGTCTGGGAGTCCCTGCTTAGGCTGCTGCCCCCGCGACCTGGCCCTGGATAAGCGGACGAAAATGGATGGATGGATGGAACAATACATACAAAATATGGGATAACATATACAATTATTCTAATAATTATGAAAATGTAATAGTCGCACACCCATGTAAACTGCTTGGACTGAAAGTCATGTTAAGGAAGAACTTTTTAAAAGATTTTTCAGTAACTTTTGCTTGATAATTTGGTGGCAATTACTTATAGACAGTACATGGAGTTTACCGTGAGTCTGAAATTAATATAAAATATCTAACTATGCCCCATAATTTCTTATTCTAGCCTCTAGGGAGATTATGTTTGTGACAAACCTTACTCCAGTCCAATTTCATGTTCACAGCATCTTTCATTTGGTGAAAAGGAGAAGGCTCTGGCTTGATTTAATTTCTGATTAAATGATTAATGTTGGAAATCAGTAAAAACACAAAAAGGCAGTACTCTTTTTTTTTTTTATTCCATTCACTGTCTGAACAGAGTTGACATTTTGCACAAACAAGAATTAAGACTTGCATCAGATTATCATTAACAAGAGTGAGGCCAATAACGTATTACAGCCAGTAATGTTAAAACCGCCAATAATGTAAGAATTTTGGCCAAGGTTAAATGTAATAAGGAAGGCCAAACACGTAATAACATCTTGCCAATAATGGCTACACTACTGGCTGCAGCTATTATCAAAGGAAATGTTCCTTGTCAGGCAAAGATACAAACCAGCCAACAATCTCAAACTGCAGCACTGGTGGTGCACAAACTCCTTCAGGTGGCTCTTCAGTTTGTGGGTTTGTATAATTTTATCCACTTTTTGTCCTCTTTTGGACAATTTATTGTTTAGAAGAACAGAGGAAATGTAGTCCGCTGTTACACCTGGTTTAGCCCTAGATTAGACCTACAATAGTCCTGTGATAGTCCTGGTTTAGCTCTGGAGGTACTCACAAATCCAAATCATTTCTTTGGTGGTACTTGGTGTGAAAAATTTGAGATACACTGACTTACTACATTATTAGCTCACCATTACATTTAAACTTGGCCAAAATTATTGGCTATTATTACATTACTGACCATTAATATGTTAATGGTTGCTACAAAGCAACATCACCAAATACATTTCTCACGTCCTCTTGGCATTTTAAAAGCTCGACAGATGGTTAATGGCAATACAATTCTCTTGCAACATTAATAAACACCTTTAACATACTGTATTGTACTGTACTGTATGATTTACTTATTTTACTGTAACAATGAATGAAAGAGTCAAAAAGCTCTAAATGATTCCGCATCCATTAAGAATCAAAACTCTCTACAGTTTTTCATAAAGATTTTTAAATAGAATAAAATAAAATATGCATGTATTTTGTTAAAATGGAAATGTACTGAAATTGTCTGAGTTAGAAACTGTTCTCTCTTTTTCGTTGACCACATGAGCACATATGATTTGTGCTGCAGATCAAATCCCCCTTAAATAACATTACAGTCACAAGCTAGCTCGCATTAGCCAACAGTTTTTCAGTGAGGCTCTGATCTAAATCCACCTCATGGCTTCTCATTCAATTATAGACAAACTAAAACGATAAAATAAACCCTTATGAAATGAAAGGCAGTGTTTCAGCTCTCTGTCTCCTCCCTCCTCCACACCACCACCAGGTTGCAGTCAGTCAGGGCCACCAGATACTGCAGCTCGGGGTCCATAGCCACACTATTGATTGAGGGGCCCTCAACTGGCCCCTTGTCGTTGCGAACAGACGGCCACTCTAAGATCTGAAATGACACAGTACATTCACAAATATGATTTCACGTTGTTGTTTTTTCCTCCCTTGGGTTAACATCGCACTGCAGCCCGGTTGAGTTTACAAAAAAATAGACTGATGAAATTTAAGACCTTTGTGGAAAAAAAAAAAAATGACTTGGACAACATAATTTAAGACTTTTTAAGGCTTTAATTTAGGAACATGAAATTTTACACCTTTTTAAGACTTTTAAAACCGGCTACACTGTTTTAAGTATTATAGTGTAAATATAAAGCATTGTGTGTATTTTTAGGCAGCAAATTGACAAAAGAGGAATCTGTGTTAGTCACCAAATACATAACAATTATTCTAAATAATGTGGACAACTGACAACCACATGAGTTTAATATCAAGGCCTGTAGGAGCAGCTAAAATGACACCCCGTAGAAGTGTAATACCCTCCTTTTTAAAGAAATAAAGTTTTACAACAATTGTAAAGAAGTAACATAATTTTTTGTGAAACTCTTTTCATTTTAGACATTTTAATACTGCCGTATGACTCTTCCTGTCACTCTGCTGGACATTCACTACTAATTTGCCATTTAAAAAAAAAAAAATCACTATTAGAATTGTGAACTGTGTTTTTCTTAGGAAATACAGCTGTCACACCGCAGGACATGACACTTGCGCATGTTAAAAAATTGTCAGATCTGGATTGTACAAAAATAAGAAAATGATCACTATAAAATTTGTACTGCAGCTTAAACCTTTAAGACCAGAGTTCTTCCTGGTGCTTACATGACAGATGAGCTCCTCCTGGTTTTTGTGTAACCGTCTTTTAAAATGTGTGATTTTTCATGTCACACCGCGGGACTCCCTGTCGACTGCTGCATTAAACTGCTTATATCTTTAGATTTAAAGTGATAAAGGTGTAATATTAAATAATAATGACATCTTTCCCTTTATGCCAGCATCTTTGTGAATTATCTTTGGCACAAGAAACTGGGAATTCTAGATTTTTTTTTTAAAGAAAACTAAAAGACTGACTAAATGTAATTTGTAATAGAATTGTGCACAGTTGAGTTGTTAAATTTTGGAGTCTGTTATTCAGAATCATGTTATTAACACTACAAAGTCCAAAACTGTACTGACCATGTAAATCAGGTTTGGGTTTAAAAAAAAAAGGGGATGTTCTTCAGAAAATATGTGGCCAAATTTACTTCTGTGCAGATGTTTTCTTAATCAATTCAAACTAAATCTGTTTATATGAACCCTTTGGAGCACAGACAACGTGCTTTGTGAAATGGAAGCTCTGTAGTTTTGACCACAGTTTGATCTACTCTCATTATAAGTGGGAACATACTATGTACAGAGGAAAACCAGATTCAAATGCCGCCTAGATTAGTTTTGGTAAATATAAGGATAGGTATAGCTGGCGTCTGAAGGTTTTGGCTGATAAACAGGAGATAAGCAGGGTTATTAGTACGTCTTAATACTCATTTTTTAATATTTAGTGCAACATGCACAGTTCACGGGATGGAAGTTAAGGACTATGTAACGTCACACATTCACTGGGACTGTGATCTTGAGGACCAAAACCGTCCAAGAGAATCTGGCTGCAGACCTCCACCCAGAGAACCTTACCCCACAGACCTCCACCAGGATGCACCGCCACCCACATGCTCCTTGCATTTTTCATTAGTTTACACAAGGCATTAGCACTTGTACATGTGCAATAATCACTTATATCCCAAGGGTTAGTTCTCTGTTGAGCAGCACTGAGATGTTTGATTGAGATTTCTATTATGATTGTATTTTACTGCTCAATGTGCTTAAATTGCCTCTTGGGGACAAAAAAAGTGACATGATAGATTTTTTTTAATTTTAGGGTTATTTTTTTAATTTTTGGGTTTGGAGTAAAGACTGATCCACATTCTTTGACTGAAAATAAGTGGGTTAGAGCTTTCCTTTCCTGTTTCCTTTATCAGATGTTGGACAATAAGTAAAATTCAGGGGCCCATTGGCGTTTAAGTATGCATGACAGGTTTTTGTCATTCTCAAATTTTTACTTAATGAGGTGGGATAATACTTGTTGTAACTATAAATTATAATTTTTTTTAAATTATAATTTTACACTGATGAAGAAGAAATTGTTGAAGAAAATCTGAAAAATATGTTGAAAATTACAGGAAGGAAAGAGTTCTGTTCTAGAGCTCCATATTGATGACATCATGCTAGGGAGATTGTCATTGAAAAGTTAGGCACAAGACTTAAACAATTAAGAACAATGTGTTTTCTTGCATTTTAATTTGTCAAATAAGAATTTTTGAGAACTTCTGGCTCAGTGTACAATATGCTTGCTAGGTAACTGTTATGGAATTCCCTAGCGATGTCATGATTATCAAACACGAGGTCAAATTTTACACCTAAACAATTGCCAAACTGGGCAATTTGTAGGTTGGAGATAAGGGGGGGGACCATCCGCAATGGTCAACAAATGTTTTACTTGCCTTGACATGGGCTGTGTACCATTTTTGTCATTTTTTTTCTACTTTCCCTTTCCCACCTATTTTCTTTAGTAAGAGGTTGTGGTTTTACAGTTTTTGCTATTTTACTTAATATTAGAAATATTAGAATAATTTTCCTATTTTTTGGAGACATAGTTTTTGGTATGATACTCAGTATAAATAGCTGTAAATCTAAGTTTAGTTTTTCCTTACAAATACTTTCAATTTTGGTAGTCTCTGATTAAGTGGCTACTGACTACACTTACAGGTGAGTTTTGTCTTTCAGTCACATTTTTATTTTACGTTGATAAGAGTTACAAAAATATGAACTATTAAATACTCCAAAACCGCTTTTCGACTGAGTATTTTACCATCAAAATAAATAAATACAGAAAATGTACAGATTTGATGGTGATGTCTAATAGCCTTTCAGTAGCATTTCATAAACCACATGCTCCTCATGAAACAGTATTTTTTTAAACAACTGTAGCCTAAACATTAAGCTAAATATTTATTCATAGTGGCCAATTGCTATGGGTCTATTTTACTTCAATTATAAGAACTGGTGACTTATTTTTAATTTAATTTAGGATGTTGTTTTTTTTTTTATTTCGGACATCAATAGTAGGAACACTAAATGTTATGATTTATTAGTATTAATAACAATTACTTACTTACAAGTATATTTTGTGTTTTAAGATAAGAAATAATGTCAATTTAAAGACGTTACCAAAAACGAAGAGAATTAAAAATCGAAAGTTGAGCTGAATTGTGAGTTAAGTGAATCATCCTCTCCCTAATATTTCATAATGTGAAGATGATAATGAGAAGTAAAAGTTACCTGGGGCGCAATGCTCTTGTCCTTCAAATCCTTGATGTGGTAGGTCCATAAGCGTCCTCTGTCGTCTCCACACACCACATAGCACTGACCTGCAGACATAAGTAGCACAGGACTGTTACCCACTTCAGCAGCTCAATACTTGCAGCTGATGTCATCAACATTCCCTGGAGGTGTGATGTTAAATGTAGGCATGCTCTGTCTCAGGTTTGTTAAACTTTAATTTCAGTTTTATTTCAAAACAATCATTTTTGCATCGTTTTTTTGACCTCTTGTATATAGCTGAGATCTATTTGTATTACTACAATTTTATACTTTATTTTTACTTGTACATTTACATAATTATTTATTTATATAATTATGCTTTATTTGACCATGATTATTTGACAATGTGTAGCTTAATTTCCTTCAATTTGGTTAATTTTAGGCTACTAGCTAAACTGTTGTTGAAACAAAGGGTGTTCTGATCTTATATTAATTTAGTTTGCCAAATGGTGAATGTTTTTTTTAGCATTAAAAAATTCAAAATGACAAATTCCATGAAATTTGAAATAAAAAATTAATGAGACAAATTATCTTTCATACAATTCACACTTTTTTGTTTACTACATTCCATCAATTCCTTCAAAGCCTTCAGTTACAAGGACTTTTTCCATTAAACCGGAAATCCAGCATGTTTCCAATTTTTGCCAACTTTATTGAAATCCTGTAGATGTTTCAAATGAACATCACAAAGCAGAGTTAGTCCTGTGAGCTCTGAAGTGTCTAGATGAGTGTAAGCTGCTGTGAGTTTAGTGTAGTGTAGTGATGACGTACCTGGGCAGGTGTTGAGGGCGAGGTAGGGCACCTGGGTGGAGGTCCACTGCAGCTCAGCAAGGACCACTGCACTCACACAGCCAGTCTTCTTATGGGGCTGCTGAGCTAATGTCTGACTAAAGCTCCACAGATAGATGCTTCTGTGCATGTAGTTCTTTGAGGCTGTTTCAAAAAGAAATCAAATTTATATTGTTGCAAACTAGAGATTACTTTTTTCACTTTCACTAAATGATCTAAACCTGAACCACAGAGGTTTTACACTCAGCGCATGCCACTCAAGTGGGGAAACGTGTGAAGCTGAGTGGGCACTTCTACCAAGTTATGAGGTGTGTTTCAGTGATGAAACTGTGTAAATTATTTAGTCTGCATGAGTTGGAGTACTTACCTACGATGTCATCTGATAGAAAGGACAGTCCATCCACAGTGTGGTAATCATGCTCAGAATCTTTGTCCTTGTATACAGGAAAAGTCACCTCTCTCTGCTTCCATCTGCAGGACAATAGAGTGACACTATAACATTACTACAACCTCAAAAGCCCTTTATGAAGAGCTTGAAAACAAAGACGCCTGGGTTGGTGTTAGCAGGACCTGTCCGGCTGGACATAGCCCAAAGGAGTCCGCAGACCTATCACCTGCTGGGAAATATGTAAAGGGGACCTCTCTGTGGGAGAAGGAGTCTGAGCTTGTGAGGTTGGTTGAGCGTCACCAGTTAGAGATAGTCGCGCTCACATCTGGAACCCAACTCCTTGAGAGGAGCTGAGTTTTCCATTTCTCTGATGAAGTCTCTGGGGTGGGGGAAGTCTGGGATGAGGGAAGTCTGGGAGTCCCTGCTCAGACTGCTGCCCCAGCAACCCAGACCAGATACGTGGAAAAAGATGGATGAATACTACGGTGTCACACCATTGCCACAGAAATACCACAACATGAGCTTGGCAACAGGTGAACACTGCACAGTAATCACGTGGGAGGTTTGTCATTCAAGTTACTGCATTTGTAAAAAACTGAAAACATGCTGATCTCATGGAAGCCGTTTACATATTAGAACACTTAAGTGAAAAGAGGCAACTACCTTCTCATTTGTGGTTGTGGGTGGAACCTTACTGCTGTGTGTGCTCACCTGTTTGTTGTGGTGGTGGTCTGGACCTGGGTGCTGTAACAGTGCAGTCCGTTGTCACAAGCTGTCAGGAGGTGAGAGAGGGGGGCCTTGGGGGGAACGCAGAGGTGTAAAGGAGTGGAGTTGCATTCCAACGACATCAGCTGACTAATTATAGAAAAAGAACAGTTGATCAATACAATGGATCATTACATACATAATCATAATGAGGCTGTTTACAATCCCTAATGTGTCCCCCTTTTTCCTTGGCATCTTTAAGGATACTTTTTCAAAATTATAGAAGCAGGGTACCAAATTGAACCATCGTACATATACACACACACACGCGCGCGCGCGCACACACACTCAGATAGAAACCAGAGAAGATGCAGGTACTGACACAACTTTGTAATTGTAGTGATTGTCCAGTCCTCCAATGTCCCAGAGCACAATCTTATTGTCGTAGGAACCAGCTGGAGGAGAAAGAGAGAAAACACTTACACAATCTGTGATGGAGCAACAAAGTCAGGAAAACCCTCTGCAACTGCTCTTAAAGCATGATGAGCAACTGAAGAAGGCAACAAGATCACTAAAGACTGGCCAGGGCTCACAGATAATGCACTATAGCATTTACATGGTCAAGCATTTAAGTACGAAAAATTTAATCTCATTCTGCTCTGACTGTAACAGGAACGATGAATGAGTGGGCTAAAATTTGGTATTACCCCAGATTTACACATAATACAAATGAGTCAGGTGAGATTATTCTAAGATTCAGTTGCTCTGCAAGTAACCCACTACCAGTACTGAGTGTAAAAGAGACGAAAAACCTGGTGAAGATTTCATGATGTGGCAGGTGATGCATTTATTCAGCATTTCTCTCTCAAAAAAAACACTTTTTGATACTTTATTGATAATTTACGCAAAACTTTCAAATTGAAAATAAAAATAGGCTACAAATATGTACCTTAGAGCAGTTTTGAGATGTATAAAACAAACAGAACGAATAAAATATACTTTGAACATGAAATAAGGCAGAAAAACATAAATGTATCCAAAAGAAACTATATATCCAGATGTTCTACAGTCTCTATAGTTAAAGAAAGAATATATATATTTATTTAAAAAATATCCCCAAATAAACTTTGTTAAGTTTTAGGGCACACTCAACTAGGACTTTAGGACCGTGTCATGCTCAAGCACGATTGCTGTGGGTTCTATGTTCCACACTCACACCTGCACAACCAAACCGGGCCACAGCCAATGACGTCATCACACGGCGTTGTTTGTTTACATGTCGCCCAGAAGAGCTAATGCTTTAGCAAAGAAAATAAGTGCTGAGATATATGCTCCTCCATGAGTTTATGGATATAAAACTGTGTGGAGGTTTGAGGCCAGGAGGAGGAGTGAGGACAGGAGGAGGAGTGAGGACAGGAGGAGGAGTGAGGACAGGAGGAGGAGTGAGGACAGGAGGAGGAGTGAGGACAGGAGGAGACAACGCTGCAAAACTTTTGTCTCTACAGTCCTTACTGAAGGTCAGCACGGATTCACTGTGTGTGTTTAGAGTGGAGTTTTTTCACAGTTTTTTCTTGTATGAGTAACATGAGCGTGCACACAGGGCGCACAGGGTGAAGTCGTGCATGTGTGCATACAAGAGCAACCTAAGAGTGCGCTCACACTAGGATCACCTTAAAGTGCAGTACGTTTGTCCAGTGTGAGCGTAATCGAACTGTGCTCAGGAACGGTACGGTTGGGCCTTTGCCTGTTTGGAAGAGGTGGGCCAAAGCACAACACAGGTTCTCATGTACGCGCACACGCATGACTTTACTATACGAGCCCTGTCAGGTGCACTGATGTTACTCACACAAGGAAACCAGTGAATAAAATCTGCTCTCAAACACACGGCAAACCCGCCCTGACCTTCAATAAGGACAGACAGTTTAGCTGCCTCTTGTCTCCGGCTGTCATGCTCTGCGCTGTTTTTATATCCAAAAACTCACGGAGGTGCGTGTATCATTAAAAAACACCCATCAGCCTCACTATTTAATAGATATTTCTCCCGCTGGACTTTTTTCTCTGCTAAAAGTGTTAGCACATGAAAACAAATAGAGCCGTGTGATGACGTCATGGGGCCGTGACCCGGTTCAGATGTGCAAGTGTGAGTGCGCCCTAAATCGTTTCAACTCGATTATATGAGTTTGGAGATCGTTTGACACACAAAATCAAAATCACAATCAAAATTTGATTATTGCACAGCCGAAGCGGCAGGCTTACTGTATAGGAAGTTGCCCTTGTTAGGGTTGAAGCGGAGCACAGACAGAGCTTTGCGACTGGCTCTGAACTCCCCATAAGCAATATTGTTCCGTGGGTGGATTAGTTTGACCATGCCCCTCTTCCCTCCAGCTGCCAGGACACTACAGGGCTGAGCAGGAGTGCCTTGACCACAACACATCAACACGGTGGTCCAGGCCAGGCTGAAGAACTCCTGCAGGACAAATAAAAGTGTGAACTGTGTGGAACAACATGGATCATCAGATCACCAAAATATTGAAAGAAATCCACACTTTATCTTTATATCTGCAACAAATGAACAGGAGGTGACAAGCATCGTTCTTAAGTGTAAAACTAAACTATCCAAAGACTCATGTCATGACATAGACATGGTACTATTTTAAAAAAGTAATAAAAAATATTGTTAAGCCATTTACCCATATCTGCAACTAATCCTTCCAGTCAGGGCATTTCCCAAATAAAATGAAAACTGCAAAAGTAATACCAATATTCAAGAGTGAGAACAAACATAGTTTTAAAAACTATAGACCAATTTCCCTACTGCCACCAATCTTTGAAAAACTCTTCAGCTCACGTCTCGAAAAGCTTCTTGACAAACATCAAATAATCAAGGAAGAACAATATGGATTTAGGACAGAAAGAACCACCTCAATGGCAATAATCGATGCAATAGAGCAGGGGTGTCAAACATACGGCCTGGGGGCTGGATCCGGCCCTCCAAGACCTTTAATCTGGCCCTCAGTTGATTTTCTACAAAAATATTTTAATTATATTTTGTATTAAAATATTGGTAATTTTCTGCGTTGCTTAGCATAGCAGCGTCTCCAGCGTCTCTGTGCGTGGCCCCTCCCACCAGAGCAGCACAAATGAAGACTTGCCTCTTTCCTAACTTGCCTCTTACCTCTTTTAAAGGACGATCGTTTTGACTGTTGACCGTGACACCCTCATCAGCAAAACGTCAAAAATGAGAAAAGTGGAGCCGAGTGCAGGATTTTCCAAGAGAAATTGACTTATTCCTATTTGCATACAATTTCATGTTAAAACATTGTGTTGAAATTGCATTTTTCTTAAAGTTTCAGGTTGTTCATTATATTATAATATTTTGTAAAAGAAAGGGTTCATCAATTAAAAAAGATTTCTGTAATAGATTTGTGTTTTTCTGCACAAATATTTGAACTTCTTGCTGTTTTTGGGGTTTATATGACATGAGTTTTCTGATCCGGCCCCTTTGAGATCAAAGTAGGTTGGATACGGCCCCCGGACCAAAATGAGTTTGACACCCTCACCACTCTCATGTTGTCTGAAAATCCTCTGTCTGAAGCAACTGGTGTTTCTGAAAAAAGATTTTCAGACAACATGAGATCCTGGTCTATTTCAAACCTACGAACGCTTTAAGACAGAGACTGGTCCACCCAAAGGACAAAACACCGAGCCACAAACAAAGCAATGTGCTCTACTCTATTCAGTGCAGTGAAGACTGCAGTGAACGCTACACTGGAGAAACTAAACACACTTCACAAGAGGATGTACCAACACAGACGAGACAACAGCAGTGGACATCTCCACTTAAAAGCCACAGGCCACTCATTTGAGGACAGTGAGGTACAGATTTTAGCCAGAGAAAAGAATTGGTTTGAGAGGGGAGTGAAAGAAGCCATTTTTGTTAAGAAAGAGAATCCTTCTCTAAACAGAAATGGAGACTCAGACACCATCTATCTCCTATTTACAACTCCATCCTCAAACCGAAATCAAAACAAACAAGAGAACAACAGGTGTAGCCAGTTCAGGTCCAGAGGTGTGGAAGCTCCATTATGGCCATGAATTGTTCTGCTAATTAGACCCCACACCCTGCACAGGTTAATAGGCCCACCTAACAAACAGAAACTGTAAACGAGTGTTTGTGTTAGTTTCAGAGTAGTTATTTAGCTCCTCCCTGCAGACAGATATAAGGAAGTGTCCACCAGCGTCTGACCAGAACTGAAGAAGCAGCTTGGATGAACTGTGAAACATCTTCAACCAAACAAATTTTTGTCCAATCGACAAACTGAATTTTCTCTTCGCCAGCTTCTGTAGGGTTAAAGAGTCGCATCATGCTCCCAGAAGTGATAATCACTGTAGTAAAGCAGCACTAATGGAAAACCAGTCAAAAAACACCAAACAGGTAGAAACTTGAAATGACCTCCACAAGCAAAACCAGTCCTGTTTGAGGGTTTGTCTCATTAATGCTGCTCTACTGCATCTGTTGTTCATTTCCATGAAAAGAGGAGCATCCTTTTGTTCCTAAGACATTGCCCTGTCCAGATTTGTATAGATATCCAACACATTTTTTTTCACATTGAGACTGAATGTGTTTTCAAAGTGCTCATTTAATTTTTTTGAACAGTGTATATATCAGGACCACCTGCGAACACATTCTGAATACTGAACATCTCTTTGTGAATTGCTGAGCTTGCCTTTATGTTTAAAAGGTATAATTAAGGCATGATTTTGGTTTCATTTAATTAGTTGATGTCAGTTGCTCATGTAGCAACCCCCTGCCCAAACCATAGTGGCTCACTCTATTATTATAAATAACCATGCCGAAGAGCTCAAAGACAAACCATGTGGATACCACAGAAGGTGCAGCAGTGTGTCTAACCTCTTCAGAGACTTTGTACTTCTTCATGACCAGGCCGAGCTCACAGTCAATCAGGCACACAGAGTCCCCTCCACAAGTGGCCACCAGGCGACTGGACCCTGCACAGACAGGGCTTTAGATAAAGAGCTATCCAGAGTAAACCACAGAAGCTAGGTGAGCAGTGTGTGGGGATGTGGGAGCAGAGGGTGGGAGCTCTTCACTGCTACAGGTTAAATTCAGCTGTCACTCGCTCAGACTGACCAATAGGAGGAGGGGGTGATAAAGTGCCCGTTTTTAGCCATAGAGCGGCATTAAACATAATTGCTGAGAATCACAATATGGCAATTTGACTAAAATAGCAGAATGTCACAGGGATGAGATCACAATTCGATTTGTATTGCGGTATCACTCTTCCCTGGAATCCAGAAGTCACACATTTTCAATACTGTAGGAAGATGTGTGTCTAGTCACTGGTGAATCTCTCTCGTTTTCAAATGAGTGTGACTGACAGATGGATTAGCCAATCATGGACACTTACAGTCCATCCATATTGGAAAAAAATATGGGAAAAATATCACAGGGGACTGAAAAACATGGCAGATTTCCACAGTATCAATGAGCACTAACCTAGAAAAAAAAAGACGCAACACAGTGTGTGGGGACCAGACTGATAGCAATCTGTATTTAAAAAAATACAGAGAGATATTCTGGATGTAAATATTGCCCTGCTCTTGTGTGGGAACATACCATCAGAGGGCTGGAAAGCACAGGTCCACAGCTGAGTGCTCAGGTCATCAGTCCTGTCCTGTTTACTGTGGCACTGCAGCACATGATGAGTTCTCAGACACACAGGTTTCTGCACCTGACCATAACACACAATTACACTCACATCCAGGCTATTGATTTTATCTGAATTAACATGGAATCCACACCTCATTTGGGCTTTTTGCTCTTGGCAGCAGGTGTTTAGCTGGACTGCTGCTGGGCTGGTGGCTGACACTGTCTTGCTTGCTCTTCCGGGTGGTGCGGGGGCTGCTGGGTGGGGTGGAGGACTTACACAGGTCGTGTGTGCTCTGGTTCTGCCTCTGGCCTGTGAGTTGCAGGGCTGATTTGCGGGGGCTCTCTCGGATTTGGGATACTGGTACTATGCTGGCCTTTTTCGCAGGAGTCTGTTTTGTGACCGCAACTGGTGAAACGGCCCTCTTTCTCTTTAGTGGATTTGCATTCTGTATGAAATATCACAAAAGGCTTAAGTCTAATGTATGCTTATGTTCTAGATGCATAAGGATACGCATGATGGCTTTTCCAGATGATATGATCTAAAAATTGCCATGGGCGCCTCTGGGTTTGTTTATATGTTGTTCTATTTCATCTATTATGGTGTATTCTCTAACTGACTTTGTGAGCCGTCTTGTGGTTGTTTGATAAGAGAAAACAGAAAAACTGAACAGTCTAAAAGTATAAATGCAGTAACGGTTAGTACGGTTGGAAAGCACAGATTTGGTTATGTATGGAAATAGAGGATAAATGAAGAGTTATTTTGTGAAGGAGCACAGTTATGGGGGTGTACCTCAGAATCCTGATCTGTAGTGGATTCCTTTCTGTGTGGTTGGTCCTTCTGTTGTGTCTGAAACTTGAAGAACTCAGCTGCCATGATACCGACCTACAAAGGAGACAGATGAGAGAGCTGCTGTCCAAAGAGGACAGAAGACAGGCAGCTACAGCCTTACCCTCCACTTGGTGAAGTCACTAACTGAGCTGGGCCCAAACTTCACCTGCTGTTTGGCTGTGCGCACAAAGTCTGCCTCAAGCGCGGTTAACTTGTCTGCGCTCATGGGCTGAGGCAGGCTGAAGCTCCTCTCCCACAAAGATATGATCTAGGGGTCACAAAACCAAGCTCAGGATATTGCTGGATTTCAGGTGACATCACAACATTCTAAAGAGCAATAATATTTAGAACACATAGGGGACCGCAAAACTGTAATCATTCAAACATAAATTTTGGTTGTTACACAATCAAGTCCTAAGATCTAGTCAGTAATAGATATGATCAGGGTCAACATTTGTGCATTTACTTATTGCACGACAAAGTAACCATGTCGGATCTAGACATAATCATAATCATCACAATTATTCCAAAACTGGAAAAAACAGAAACTACCACCTGTCTGTCATTCAACAGGGCAGCTGGTCTGCAGGAGTCATAGTCGTGAGCTACTGATCTGTAGTAAATGCATGTGCCCATCACACAGAATGTGAATGCCCAACTACTGGCATTTCACTAATGTGTCTTTGGCCATGACAAAGTAAGAGTACACACGGGTGTAGTCGTGAATCACTTCAGTGCACCATGTTTGATCTGGTCCACATGTGTACCGTTCCTATAGTATTTTAAAATTAATAGTAAATTCTACTCAGGCAATCTTTAGCACGGCAGAGCAAAAGTTCACCTGCATCACATCACAGGGACGTTTTAAAAAGCATTATATTTTTGAGTTTTAGCACCGATTTGTATGATCTAGTGCCTACTAGGGATGGGCATTCGATGAAATTTTCTTAATCGATTGTCGGAAGAATTAACGATCGATTATCGATTAATCATTAACGTTTTTATATTAAAATGATCATCATTATTATTACTATCTGCACTACTAATCTGCATAAATAAATTCAACTTTACGACATATAAACCGTAACCACTCTAGAGCCACATCAGCTGTTTGACATTATAATGTGTTTAATTCAGTTTTGTTCAACTCCCACAGAAACGAAACTTAAAACCGCATCGCTAATTTGCATAAACTCAGCGAAGATAAAACTGCAGCTCTTGTGTCGCTGATGCTGTCAATTTCTGTTGGATTAAAAGACATGACTCAGGTGAATACAGGTTAGTGTGACCAGATTTGCGTTTGTCAAAACCAGGACACCGTACGGGGATAGGGAGGTGGGGACTCGTCATCGACATTGCGCGACTCTCACCTGGTAAAGCTTTTTCCCACTGGACACCGAGACATATGCTCCTGCTTTATACACTGTGCACATGGGCTCACACTTGTCCCGAACGCAACGGAAAGCGTGGAATTTCTTGTACAAGTCATCGTTAAATACACATTTGTGTTTCGGTACGCTGCAGACTGACCGAATGTTTGTGTCTCGCTCCTTCTGAGTGCAGAGAGCTACATGTACTGACCCTTGTTTGGTCACGCTACGCACAGCAACCTACATTCGGTTTGTTGATTAAAATTAACGTAATCGATGAAATTCTTAATGATCAATTATCGATTAATCGATTAATCATGCCCATCCCTAGTGCCTACCTCAAAGTAGGAGTGAGAAATAGACTGAGATTTGAACTTTCACACAGTACACAGCACAGCTCTTTGAGTAGAACTTAAACAATCAGCAACATTTGGACAAAATAAAAAGCAGATAAAGTGACCAATAAAAGCTTATAGTTCTGTAACTTATTTCCACCCCCCACTTTGACTCAGTAATTTCAACTAAAGCTGTAGTCAACTAAACATACTGCAAATCGATTAATTGACTAAAAACTGGGTCTGGCAAAAGCTCTAAAATCTCTCTGCATCTGAACTAAACTGCACTCACAAATAGGGATGTCAGGATTATTTTATTAGTTAAAATATTAAAGGCCACTGCAGGTTAATCGTAGATGTTTTAGAATTTATGGTATACAGCAGAAACGTCTCCCAAGGTGGAATGTGGAGTGTCTGCGTACACTGGTGTGTGTGTGAATGGGTGAGTGGTTCCTTGTTGAAAAGCGCTTTGAGTGCCTTGAAGGTGGAAAAGTACTATAGAAAAATGTGACCATTTACCAGTTACTCACAGGTTGTGTGTGTGTGTGTGTGTGTGTGTGTCCATGTGCGTTGTCACTAACCCACTTAATAAACATGAATTGTACGTCCAAGCAGTCTAAGGCTCAGAATAAAGAGATCCAGAAAGTGTCACAAGGCTCAGAAAGTGAAAGTACCAGGTGGAAAAAGCTTTTAAATCATGTGAACAACATGCATGCAAGAGAAATAGGTGAGTAATATATTTATTTAGCCTGATTCATCAGCCAGTTTCACTTCGTACAAACCGTCTGACCTCGCAGTGTTAGATTTCATTCACTCGACAGTAGGCAGGTACTTTTTTTCATTTAACCAATCGCTGCTATTTGGTCATGACGTATGTAATGCGCCGCTAACGGGGCTAACTGGTATATTAAGCTTTTCCAAAATCCCATAGGAAGAAGGACAATAACGTCTTTCTCCTTGATAAAATTCACCAAACATTCTCTTTGTTCCATCTTTAAATCCTTAATCTCTCAAAAAATATTTCAGCTAATTCACTCACTTCTCATGTCTGCTGTTGTCTCATATAAATCCTTATAAACTAAATCAAACGATAAGTTGACCAATACACATTTTGGTAAACCAAGATACCATCGATGGATTAAAGTCCTAAATGCCTACGAACCTACAACTATTTTCAGTTCATGAATAATCAGTTAGTCTAGTGTGTGCACCGTGCTCACCCGTGTCTGCAGGTTGTCTGTGTAAACGTAGCGCAGGTGGTTGGCCGTAGCAGTGATGTCTTTCCCGTTGTACATCCTGAGCTGGGGCAGCAGCACCATCAGCTTGTAGTTATCACTCACCTCCAAACACAAACAAGACACTGGTCTGTCAGGGCAATGCACACACTAAAATGGGCTGTGCAGTGTTTTTTAGTTGGAATACAAACATTTCAAACTCAACTGCGATCTCTTTACTTGGACAATAGAATGTGATTTTCAACATTAAAAGTGTAGTAGTTTCTTTTATAGTAGGTGTTATATCTGTGTAAACCCTCAGTATTGCGGGTAGTGGTCCATGGATGTGTACTGTACTAGTCTATGTGGTCTGATATAGCTGAAGATCATTCTAAAACTATTCAGAAAGGGTTCATTTTTGTCCTGCCCTTGTGATTTTATTTTTTTTAGCATTGACACTTGTTCACTTGTATCTAGTTTCGATTAGTATCCAATATTTGATACTTGAATTGAATATTCGTTTTAATAAATTGTCATTAATAAATTAATTTCAATAATGAGAATCACTAGAAAATGATGTGTGTAATCTTTCATGTGCACTTTTATGATTACTTTTGCATTTGTATGACACTTAAACCTCACCTCACTAAGTTAACACATTCATGAAGGCAAAAATGAAATCTGATTATCATGATCAGGATTTTCTAACATTGATTTTATCAATATGACCTACCTCTGTTGCGATGTTGTAAATGCTACTTGTGCTCATATTTTAAGGAGGACCTATTATGCAAAATGAACTTTTCAGAACTTGTAAGATGCTACCGCTTTCACAGGGTTAAAATGAAAAGGGATGAGGGGGAGCTTCTACCCCAAAGCTTTAAGAAGTAAGCCTCTCCTCTCTCCTCCTCTATGTATTTAATGTATTTATGTTGCTGGAAGGTACATAAAAATGTCACTACATACTCATACTGTACTGTGTTATAACATGGTAGAAAACTCCAAAAGGTTAATTTTGGTCTTTTAAAAGTGACATCATCATTATTATGATAAGATTCCACACAATAATATCATAAGTGCAGTACACTGGAGTGCTCACAGTGATATAGAGGTTATCGTCCAGGCACAGCTCTTCCAGCGCACTCAGACACTGCAGGTTGCAAACATCTTCCATCTGGTTATCACTCAGGTCCAGGTGTTTCAGTGATGGCAGACACAAAGCTGCAGGGAATTCTGTCAGCCTGTTCCCAGACAGGTCCAGCCTCTCCAGGCACACCAGGTGAGACAGAAGAGGGACCGGCAGATCCTCACACCTCAGGCCCAGTTTTGACAGCCTACAGAGGACAGGAAGGGCAACATTACTAGACAAGGCTCACAAGGATCGATCGATCAATCAATTGATCAATCTATCTAGATAATAACAGCTTTTTAAGACGAACTAACTTCAAAGAGTGAATTTGTTCCAGTTTGCTTGATTTTGGAAAGCCTCTCTCAATGAGAAGTTTTTCAGTTATCTTCTGCATGGTGGAACTGTCGGGAGAGAAAACAGACAAGGTAAGTTGATTTGACAATTGGAAAACTGGAGTACTGCAAGAAAATCAGTCGTATTGATTTGCTAATTGTACACACAGTTCAGTTTCTTAAACAAAAAGATGTTACGCAGGACTTTAATACAGAAACCATTTCAGTTTTATTCACTAAAGCTGTGTTATAGTCTCATGCTTTATTCAACTACCAACAGCAACCTCAAACAGGCACAATTAAAGTTTGGCAATGTGAAGTGTGATCAAGCATCTTGCAAAAGGACACAATGCCAGTAGGCACATGAGAGCTGATAAAACCTTATAGAAAATTTGATTAGAGAAGGAAATCAGTTTAACAATTAAATGCATGCAAACAGTTTTAATTTTTCCTCAAATCTTGCTTAGAACATTTTGTCCTGTAGCAAGAATATAGCCTAGTTAGCTAACTTTAGTCAGATGTATTGCAGTAGTTAATATATGCTGTATGTATATGCTGTATTTGTGGCTTTTGGCTATTCATAAGGCACTGTTCACACCCCACCCCCAAAACCTGTGAATGAGAATGAAAGGAAATTTGCACAACAAACCCCTGCATTCAGATGTCCCGGTGTCCTGATGGGAATAAATACAGGCTACTGTAAGTTGCTCCTGTGAGCTTTAAACTATGTTCTAGTATTGTAACATCCTGAAAAAACATGCCTGGAGTTGCGTTTTTATTATTAATCTATCTACAGACCCAGAGTTCAAAATGCTCTGTTCCACGTTGTGATGTGATGATAGTTTTCAAGTTACACTACACTTTTGCCTTCAGCTCAGAACGGCGATTGCATGATTAGATTCGTGAATGTGTCTGGAGTTTAAAAACACTATGGAGCATTTCCTGTATTACCACAGAACGTCACAAGGTGGAACAGAGTGTTTCAGAGTGTTTAAGAAGAACTTAAATATGCAGGGTTTGAGTTAAACATGTGTGACTGAAGCAAAACAGAACTCTAGGTCTGTGTTGTGATGAGGAAACATTATAACATACAAAAAGCATAATATGGGCCCTTTAATCCATACGTTTGGCAATCGAACTTAGTACTAACGTTAATAAAGCTCTGTATATATGTATCCTTACCTCGGCATAGTTTTGCTCCCTGGAGATGGTCGTTTTGTTAGAGCACAGCAGTAGCGCACACACTCGTCCTCTCCCGCCAGCAGCGCACTCCTCTTCCTGCGCGCTTCTGTGCGCCACGTGCTCGAACACGGACCAATCCGAGCTCACAAAAGGCTCCTCGTTTACACTTGGGCGGGGCCACAGTTGGAGTCATCAAGGCGTGAGGAGGAGACGAGACGCAACTGGAGAAATGAGATTTGGCCCCGATCAGTTGCGTGGCCAGTCTTTTCCACATTCTGTTCTTTGTGTCGATATGTGTAGGTTTAATTAGGCTACATGGCTCACTACAATCATGATCTGCAACATAAATGTTTTAGTTATTAGACACTTTGACAAACTTTATTGATCCACAAGGGATGATTTGGACACAGGAGCTCACACATCACAATATAATAGAATAACAAAGAGAAAAAAAAATAAGCTAAATAATAATAATTCTAAATAAGCAGCAAAAAAAGAAAAAAAGAGCAAGCGAGAGGTGTGATATATATATATATATATGTGTGTGTGTGTGTGTGTGTGTGTGTGTGTGTGTGTGTGTGTGTGTGTGTGTGTGTGTGTAAATAAGAATAAAATATAAAATCTCAGCTTTATACAACACTGACATGATTACTGACAGGACATACGGTTATCTGTTCCATAAGGGTGAGTTCTATAGATGTAGGGAGTATTATCTGTTCCATAAGGGTGAGTTGTTGTACAGTTGTAGGGAGTATTATCTGTTACATAATGGTGAGTTGTACAGTTGTAGGGAGTATTATCTGTCCCTCTATAGTCTGGTGCAGTGGGTGAGTTGTGGTACAGTTGTAGGGAGTATTATCTGTTACATAATGGTGAGTTGTACAGTTGTAGGGAGTATTATCTGTCCCTCTATAGTCTGGTGCAGTGGGTGAGTTGTGGTACAGTTGTAGGGAGTATTATCTGTCCCTCTATAGTCTGGTGCAGTGGGTGAGTTGTGGTACAATTGTAGGGAGCATTATCTGTCCCTCTATAGCAGGGGTGTCAAACTCATTTTGGTGGGGGGCCGTATCCAACCTACTTTGATCCCAAAGGGGCCGGATCAGAAAACTCATAGCATATATACCCCAAAAATAGCAATAAGTTCAAATATTTGTGCAGAGAAACGCAAATCTATTACGGAAATCTTTTTTTAATTGATGAACTCTTTGCATGCAATTTCAACACAATGTTTTAACGTTAACTTTTATGCAAATTGGAACAAGTCCATTTTTCTTGGAAAATCCTGCACTTGGTGTCCACTTTTCTCATTTTTGTTATTTTTCTGATGAGGGTGTCACGATCAACAGTCAAAACGATCGTCCTTTAAGAGCGTTTGGAAAGAGACAAGTCTTCATTTGTGCTGCTCTGGTGGGAGGGGCCACGTACAGAGACACTGGAGATGCTGTTATGCTCAGCAGCCCAGAAAATTACCAATATTTTAATAGAAAATTTTATTAAAATATTTTAGTAGAAAATCAGCCGAGGGCCAGATTAAAGGTCTTGGAGGGCCGGATCTGGCCCCCGGGCCTTATGTTTGACACCTGTGCTCTATAGTCTGGTGCAGTGGGTGAGCAGGAGTGTCCATGATGTAGTGCAGTTTGTCCAGTGTCCTCGAGTCCTTCACTATGACAAATGTCTCCAGCTCAGAGCCGATCACATGACCAGCTTTACAGATCATTTCCAGGAGCTAGTGTGACCCTGCTGCCACTCTCTCAGGCGCTCAGGGTGTCAGTGTAATTGGCATATATCTAGCATTTAGACAAACAGTTTGGCCTACTACCGACCTCACAACAACAAGAATTTAATGAAAACTAGGTCAACGTGTTTACCCATAATTTTGCTCAACTTTTCTGTGGTTAGTTTGCATGTTAGTGGGAAAATGCTAATTGGCATTAATAGACCTACTTTGGAGTTTGAAGACTAAGATGTGTATTGAAGTACTGTACTGTTTTCAGATTCTAGAATGTGAGGATATCATACTCCCAGATGGGGGGCAAGAGCCAGATTTTCATATTAATAACATTGTATTTTGCCATGAAATATACAAAATGTAAATTCACAAATGTTGAACATTTCTATCAGTACAGAAAAAAACTAAAATGTGTCTGTTTGCTGCATGCTGCAGTGTTCAAATCAGTGGGAGCAGGTAAAGGGTGCTCATGGAAAAAGGATCGAAACTTAAAACACAACAGACTCCAGGCATTCCAAAGAAGTAAAAATCGCATGAGGAAACATATAGTTAAAAGGCCTTTATTTAAATGGCCACAGCCAACATGTTTCAACCAAACTGGTCTTCATCAGCATCTAGACACAAGAACTCACTGTATGGCAACAAAAAACTGCATTTTAACAATATTAATTTTACTTACTCCCCATCTATATTCAGTCACTTTGGTCTATGGCTGGCTGTGATGTCATCTGAAACCCACCATTATTATTTAATACAGATGGGGGAAACTAACAGCAATAATGTTAAAATGCAAAATGCAGGATTTTGCTTTCATGCATGAAGTTGATGGTTTTCATCAAGTTGAACGTTTGTCAGTTTACCTTTTAGATATTACATGTACAATGTACAATGTAATTAATTACATATTTATTATTGCATGTAATTATTACATGTACAGTGTAATTAATAGAGAAATCTGGTTCTTGCCCCTCTTCTGGTAGTATGACATCATCACATTCTAGAATCTGAAAACCATCAATACAGTTAACGTTAATTACTCAAAATCAGTGTCCAAAATACGTATTTTCAGCACATGCCTTCAGTTACTTGCAGTAAGTCAGTTTGTCCGCTAGGTGGGGACCTTCACACAGGCCCAGAAGCAGAGGACGCTAATGGCGGCCCACAGTGCCACAGCAGTAAACACATCCCCGGTGTGTGCTTGTAAAGGCATTAGAAGCTGCCTCCTGTGTGAAAAAGGACAGACCGAGGTTAAAGAAGCGCGGGTAAGTTACGCAGCGTTTTATGCTTTTTTCACGAGCGCCGACTGCAGCAGCCGTACGGCTGTACAACTGTAAACTTCATCCACAACCGCTCATCATCTAACAAGTCCTTTTGGAGGAAACAACAGACCACAGAGCATGGAGCTATTAAAATAACCATAATGCTGCTGTGGAATAAACGCAACTCATTTAGTGATGCCGCTTTCAGGTGGTATCGGACAAATGTAAATGACTTTTCGAGAGGAAGTTCCACATGAACGCCTCATGAGTAACATGCTGCATTCATGATCGGGGCGGAATTTCCTAGTTTTCTACCATAGACTGGGACTCTGTAAAAATACTTCCTTCCCATGGATCTGTTAAAATAACTGGATAGGGTATTGCTGCTTGTATCTGTCTTGGCGTACTGACACTCCCTGAAACTATAGCGAACAAAATCCGTCCTGCTCAGAAAGGATTTTTCCCTTAGAGCGCAAAGTAAACACGTGTGTGCTCGTGCTCGTTTGACAGGTCACCTACAGTTTTCAAAAATGTCGGATTTTGCAAAAACATGTGAAAAGTAAAGGCTGAGTGAATCATCTGTTATCAGTTGTTTAGGTTGATCTTTAGTCTACAGAAATAAAAAACTCAGGCTGAAACATTTTCAGATGATAGGCTAATTCCCTTCTTACTGGTAATATCGTGTGATCAAGGCGGCTGCAGTTGGTTGAAGGAAGGTGAAGGGAAAAAAATGCAACTGCAGCTGCCTTCACCTGCCTTCATGGACTACAAACCCCAATGTATGACGGGAAATGCAGTGGTGTCACACGTGCACTCATGGCTGACTGTGCTTATTGGACCTGATATGTTTTGATAAAATGTGCTGCCCAGGAGCATCCCTCGCTCCTCTTTCTCCATCTCAGATTTATCTACTTTTATATCATCAACACAGATGCTTCACATGAGTCCGCACATGATCGGTGTATGATCCTGATCCACTCAAAGTCATTTGCACCAGAGCTGACCAAAGCGTGTAAACTTTGGTGGCATATGGGGAAGCAGAAGAGTGTGTTCACAAAGTTTAATGTAGTTTTATTTAGTGTAATACTTCAAATGAACACAAGATCTGTCCTGTCAGTGGGACTCTGTGTGATCCGAGCCTCCTGGCTGTTCTCAGGATTGTGGAGTGTCCAAGCTGATTTGAGCCATTTCCTCTTCCTGTAGCCGCCTGCTCTCGCAGATGATCCAGGCGAGAATTTCAGGATCTTAAACACACCTAGTGATGAGCCATGGCTCATGTGGTGCTCCTCACTGGCACAAGCCCCACTCACAGAGCGTACGCTCCAGTGGAGGGGCCCCAATACAGTTCCCTTCTGACCCTGGCTCCAATTGACTTGCACTGGAATATTGTCATCCCTCTCTCTGTCCATGCTCACTTCCTATTTTGAATGCAGTGGCTAGAGCATATGTTCATTTATACATACAATCGATGGTAGGGCTGAGTAGATTACTTCAGTATTTTCCCTCACAGACAGGAGCTTGTGTCATTACCATGATAATGTCATTTGATTTTGCAGGCTGTACACCATTTTGTGTATGATGTGAAGGAGAAGTGTGCAGTGTGCAAAGATGGAGAGGCCAGCGGGTTTGCACTTCCTGGAGTGTTCTTGTGGGAGGACTTCCTATCAGCAGAAGAGGAGGCAGAGCTTGTCTCACACATGGACCAGAGCACATGGACCCTGTCTCAGTCTGGACGCAGAAAGCAGGTCAGTAAAATGTAATGCAAAATATGTGCCCACCACTTGATTCCAGAAGTAGTTTTCCCATTGACTTTATGAAAAACATCCATCCATTCATCCATCCATCTACTTCTTTCTACTTACTGGAATTATGCTGGGCTTCGGAGTGCAGGACTGCTGAGCTTCATTGTCACGCTGTTGCAGGACTTTGGGCCCAAGGTGAATTTAAGAAGAAGAAGGTGTGTGTGGGCCACTTCAGTGGACTACCTGCGTCGAGCCGCAGGCTGGTGGAGCGGATGCACCAGGAGCAGGCTCTAGAGGACTTTTCACCAGTGGAGCAGTGTAACCTGGACTACAGGCCTGAGCGTGGGGCACACATAGATCCACATCTGGATGACACGTGGCTGTGGGGAGAGCGGCTGGTCACTGTGAACATGCTGTCAGACACCACTCTCACCCTGTCTTTCCAGCAGGAGGAGGACGAGCTGCGAGTGGCTGTGCTTATGCCCCGCAGGTCTTTGTTGGTCCTGTCTGGTCCAGTCCGGCACATCTGGAAACATGCCATCCACCGGGCACATATCAGCCAGCGCCGTGTGTGCAGCACCTTCAGAGAGCTGTCTGCAGAATTCCTGCCCGGAGGAGCTCAAGCAGAGCTGGGCTCACAGCTGCTGCACATCGCCCTCACTTTCACTGGAGTTCCACTTTAACACACAAAGTAATGATGGGCTCTACTTTATCATGCACCAGACTCTGTTATGTACTGACAGCATAGCATTAAACACTCTTGGATTTCTTTCATTAGAAATAATACATTTTGTTTATGCACCTATCTCTGCCCATTCCTCGCCTTTGGTATTGTTTTAGGTTCTTAAAAACAGTTCCAATACAACTGCATACCCGAATCATTACAGAAGTGAACTCTGAATGCAGAGATGTATTCTGTCTCACTGTCAGCAGTGAGACAGAATACACTACTTTAGACTGATAAGATCAAATAGAGCTACAGTATATTAACTATAGTCTTAACCTGCAAAGCATTCAGAATGTGTGGTAACACTGTTCTGCCAGACTGTGAAGCTTCTCTAAAACAGCTTTTTAGGGGCCGAAAATGTATTAAGGCAAAGAGTTATAGACTCTCATATTGGCACAGCATGATAAAAATGTTTCATTTCAAATGTATGTTGTACAGGTCCCAAGCCATAGTCAAAAGCAAAAATGCTTCAGGTCTCTCGTGTTTTTCACACAAACTCACTTTTATGGTTTTGAAGTCTCTGTCCTGTAAATTCTATGTTTATGGTCGTAAACTGACGTGAGAGCTGTTTCAACATCACTGCAGTTAACAGTGAGACTGTACTGGAATCTACAGTTTTTTTTTATCTGGGCGCATTAAGAATGGCAAAGTGAGAGAATGTGAAGTTGGTGGAAAACAGCTTTTCCAGGACTGAAAATGCCTTGAAGACAATAAAAAGTCAAACTCCTATAACTCTTTGATGCCTTTTGTGGGTCACCATGGTGACTGTGGGAGGGGCCACAGGTAAGTGGGTATGGTTTGACTGGCGGGTGTGACTTGTTGGGTGAGCATGGCAGGTCTCTGGACAATGCGTTCCTTTAATTGGTTTATCAGACTGTACAACTCCCTGTGTGTCTCAAAGCAGCCTTTCCCTTCACTCTGCCTCTGCCCTCGCTCATGTTCCTTCTCTGCAGACTGGTATCTCCACTCCATAGAGCCCATCTTCTGAAGGAGCTCCTGCACCAGCTTTATCTGATGCTGGGTCTGTAGTTTTCTGGCTCATAGTGCTTCTTCATAGGCCTCCACCTTGTGCAGAAAGTCCTTTGCTAGTAGTCTGTCAGCTATACTTGAGCAGCTTCTCTCAGAAGAGCATGTGGAAGCTGGAGAGCTACAGTGCTGTAGGACTTCCCCTGCAGTGTGGATGGGAGGGGGCAAAAGCTGCCTCTCACACCCTGCCTCTGTTGTTGTTTATGAACTGGCTTAGCTAACAGGGAAGTGAATCATGGGTTCCACTTTAGACAGGTCCAGCCACTACGACATCGAAATCCCCAAACTGAATGGAGCGGCCTTCTTCTGACTTGTGCGCACTGTGGCGGGGCTCTATTAAAAACTTGGGCAAGATTGAAATTCCGAGTGCAGGTGGTTTATTGTGCCAGTGTCCAAAGTGCAAAAATCCCCAAAACAGTGCAAAAATATTTACAGTGAGCAAAACAGTCCAAAAAGTATTTACAGAAAGAAAACAGGATCGAGTTCAGCATTACTTTAAGCTCCTTGTTCAGCACACCGACGTTACCTGCTCTGTAACTGGTGGCAGACTGATTGACAGCAGGAACGGCTCCCCTTTATACCCCCTGTCTCCTCCCACTGAGCAACATATCAAAATCATTATAGAGACAAACAATTTCATCATAAACCTACCTTGTCTATGCTACGTTGAGCATACAGTAATAATATACATTAAATGTCAAAAATAATAGCTGAAAAACGTGAAGAAAATGATATTACATAACGCGCGTCACATGGTCAGCACCACGGCGCGAACAGCGCCTATTTCAACTAACAGGAAATAGAGGCTCGGTTTGGCAGAAGCGCGCCGTGTCAGAGGAGAGAGAGACGGCGTCTTAGGTAATAGACAAGTATGAAATAAACTACTCTAACGCGCTCAAGTGTGCACCCTTGGCGAATTAGTAACGGAGGAAAGAGGGGAAAAGGCGATAATAGTGAATACGACGCGGATGAATGAAACAGCGGGGAAACGGGGAGTGAACTCGTGTGTGCGGGATGAATCAGCGTGTGTGTGCGCGGGCACGTCAGTGCAGGCCGCGGTTACGTGTAGGGGGAAAACGCCACCTAAAATCATAGACGGACTGGCTCCGTCACAGCACCCTCCCCTCTTTCTCTGGACTTGGTTTGGTCTGACAGCTGGATTCTGGAGACAATAGGCCTGACTTTAGCTAGTCTTGTAGACTGTAGTGCAGGGGTGTCCAAACTTTTTTCATCAAGGGCCACATATCTAAACACAGACCAAGCAGAGGGCCTATCGAGGGCCATAAACTGATGCTCAGTACAGGGAATAATTGAAATATGTGCATGTTTAACACCTTAGAATGAGCTATCAGTCTTTATTCATGCTAAGATCCTTAAAACCACACACTAAATATTAAATATTAGCTTTATCTAGGTAGATTTTCAAAAACTTGCAGTAAAAAAATATTTTTTAATTGATGCAAGGTAATTTGGGCCAATTTACCTGGAAGCCGGAGGGCCAAGAAAAATTTGTCTGAGGGCCGCATTTGGCCCCCGGGCCATAGTTTGGACATGCCTGCTGTAGTGCTTTATCACGTTCCCTCTGTCATACTCCTCTTCTCCCTGTCAGGTTTTGGCATATGAGTGAACAGAGTGGGGAATGTTGTTTCAGCACATTCTGCTTCCCAAGCAAAAATAAAGTGTCTCACTGTCACCTGCAGTGGTGTTGGAATGGCCGTTGGAATTTTGCAATTTGCCATTAATACTGCAGAATGATTTGTTTGTTTGTATGTATTCATTTATTAAACGGCCAATGAATGTTAAAAGACAAGACCATACAAAAGAAAATGCATGCACTTGTTACGAAAGGTATAGAGCTCAACAGTGACAACCCCACAGTTCTGGAACTAAATCATTTCCCATTACCATTTTTTCACTGGCTTTCTGATTTTTTTATTTTTTAATAAAAAATATAAAACATTTTTTAAAAGTTCAAAAGCTTGTTTGGAGATAATCAGCTACTGACCACAAGACATAATTATATTAACATTTGTTTCTGACCTTGCATTTTAAACAGCCTTTTGGGCAGCCATGTTATGGACATTAGTTACTGTGTAGCTGCTATTAATTATTAATATTTGAATTTTGAAAATTAATGGAAAATGTACTTCTGAAACCAGAGCAAGCAGTCACTGCTGAACTCTGTTTACCCATTTGTAGGAGGAACACTTTGAAAACACATCAGATCTCAATGTGGTGAAAAAAATTGTGTTGGATATACAAATATGGACAGGGCAATGTCTTAGAAACAAAAGGATGCTCCTCTTTTAATGGAGATGAACAACAGATGCACTAGAGTGACAACAATGAGCATTTTCAGGCTGACAGAGAAGCGTGCCGGTGCAGGGTATCACCCATTGCCTAGTATGAAAGTGGTGTGTGTGTGTGTGTGTGTGTGAGTGATGGTGGTGGTCGGAGGGACTGATGGCACCAAGTGGCATGGCAGCCGTGCCTCTGTCAGTGTGCCCCAGGGCAGCTGTGGCTACAATAGTAGCTTACCATCACCAGGGTATAGAGTGAATAAATAATGCTGAATGAATAATGCTGAATAATGCTGTGTAAAGCGTCTTTGGGGACAGAAAATGTCTGTGAAAGCGCTATATAAATAAAGACTTACTTACTTACTTACCTTATCTTGAACTGACTGACATGTTCACGCTGAAAATCAGAGCATTCAGGAAGTGAAAAATTGGTTCCCGATGAGAACCAAGTAAAACTTGTTTTAAAAAAAAAAAAAAAAAAACGTGACAACACAGTAGACGTCAGCAGGTTCATCCGAGTCACACTTAGCAAAATAAACAAAGAAAACGTGTGTTTGGAATATGGTGGAGAAATCAAGTGACAAGAAGATTGTTGGTCAGCTGAGGAGACCAAATATTTGCTCTATCTGTGTTTGCATGGTAAGGTTACATCTTTGGATTGGGCCTTCCACATCTGGGGGTGAGTGGGATAGATTAAAAGCGAACAGAAAACAGGATAGTTTTGACACTGGAGAAAGAGGGTAGCAGAGACATTAAGATGGAGAAATCTATGTTGGATTATAAAGCTGTGTACAATAAAAAAATCAAATGGGGAGGGCTTTATGGGCCTGAACCCTGAGAAAATAGCCAAGTTCTTAAAGAATGTGAGTGACATTGTAAAAGCTCAGGTGGTACCAAATGGTGCTCTTTGTTTTTTTTGCACGTGAGGTGAGCAGTTAGCTAAAGCTCAAAAAATAAATAAAATATATGGGAAAAATATGGAAGTGGCAGTTGCAGAGCAAGAGGAGGTGGTGAAGGGGGTGATTTATGGGGTATGTGCTGCTGACATGTCCGAGAGGAAGATAAAGGAAAATGTGGTCGGTGGAAAAGTGGTGGAGGTGAAGCGTTTTAAAGCTTGTGAGGATGGAATTGTTAATGTAACAGTTCTGCTCACATTTAAAGGAAATAATCTTCCCTCGCGAGTGATTACTGGGTGTTTATCATACCAGGTTAAGGTCTATGTTAGGCCCCCATTAAGGTGCTTCAAGTGTCAGAGATTTGGCTACATGGCTGTAGTGTGCAGAGGCTCTAGAAGATGTGCCCAATGTGGGGGAGATCATGATATCTCCAAGTGTGATGTTTCAGCCTTAAGCCTTATCGTTGTGTCCTCTTCCTCCTGAAGTCAGTCACCAGTTCCTTAGTCTTGTCAACTTTCAGGAGCAGGTTTGCCAGAGACCACTTCATAAAGTTGCCAATCAGTGTCCTGTTCTCCAGCTAATGTCCATCTCTGAAACACCCAACCACCACAGAGTCATTAAAGAACTTCTGCAGGTGCAGGACTCGGAGCTGTACTGGAAATCAGAGGTGAACAGAGTGAACAGAAATGAAGACAGGACTGCACCCTGGGGAGCTCCTACATTACTGATCACAGTATCAGACAGGGTGCTCCCTGTCGCACATACACACATCCCTGCCTGACAGGTAGTCAGTAATCCAGGAGACAATGGAGCAGCTTCTCACTCATCAGAAAGGACTGGATTGTGTTAAAGGCACTGGAGAAATCAAAAGACAATCTCCTCAGAGCCTTAACACCATCCAGGTGTGAGTGAGCCCAGTGCACAAGATAGATTATTAAATCTCCTCCTAGTGTGAGCTGAGCCAGAACAAGTCTCTCAAACACTTTCATGACATGAAACGTCAAATCAAAATCAAACCAGACATTAATTATAGAGCACTTTTCATACAAAAATGCAACACGAAGTGCTTCTAACCACTGGTCTGAAGTCATTAAGTCCAGATGGAATACGTTTCACGCACACCGGCACAATGCAGGAGCTCTTAGCACCGGGATCTTTTCAAGCTTCAGACTCAGTGTGAAGAGAAAGTGCAGGATCCCAGTGAGCTGTGCTGCACATGTCCTCAGCACGTGGGGGCTGACTTGGTCTTGTCCAGGAGACTTGTTTACATTAACTTTCTCCATTTGCCTTCACACCTGGGCAGGAGACAAAGACATTGAGCTGGATTCCTCCATGGGGGTGGGGGCAGGTGTGGGAGCAGAGGGGATGGGCTTAAGAATGGCCGTCTGAGTGGGGAGGGTTGGACTGGGTGTCTGGGGGATGTAGAGATGGGGGTGGCAAGGGATGAGAAACGATTAAAATACAAATTGAGAAGGTCTGACCTGCCTGGGCTATTGTCCTGCTGCTTTGTTTTGGTGAAACCTGTGATGGCCTTCATCCCCCGCCACACTCCTGGTGTTATTCTGTTGGAGTTGCTGTTGCACCCTTTTCACCTCGTCCTTGAGTAGATTCTTCAGCTGGCTGGTGATCTAGGACTTGTTGTTGGGGTAACAGTGGACAGTTTGTGGGGACGGCTGTATGCTCACAGAAGTTCATGTAATCAGTTATACTGTCCGTTGTCCCCATCGGGCTGGCTTAGCAATGTCCAGACAACAGATACGCTCCTTCACAGTAATATGGCCAGGATTACCCCACCTCTCGTTCACCAAAACAGCAATCCTGCCAGTCTTTTTCTTGCCACTAAGGAGAGTGTCTTTGTCCGCACACACAGTCTTAAAGCCTGGTACAGATGCTCTGTTGTCCATGAAGTTCACATGAAGCCGGGTTTTCGTGAAGCACATGATTCTGCTGACAGTGTACTCCCTCTGGATCCCAACAAGCGCACACAGTTTGTCCATCTTATTTTTCAGTGCCCTTATGTTCCCCATCAGGACTGATGGAATCACAGGCTCAAATTTCTTTCACCGCTGTGTTACTTTCACTCCAGCTCAACATCCTCGCGCTTCTTCCGTAGTTACACAGAAATGTCGGTCTTAGCTCCAAACAGCACTGGGTACTTGGAAAGGAGATGCTCTCTGGAAAATGCAATCTGCCGCCACATAGTAAAGAACACAGAGGCCAGCGAAAATGAAAAGAAAAAGAAAAGAAAAAGACAAAAACGCCCAAAAACATCATGAGTGTTTAATTTCTCCTTTGCTATGGACCCCACGTGACCACCAGTGTTGTGCAAGTTCAAACTTTTCATGAACTAGTTCAAAGTTCAGTTCATTTTATTTTTAGGTGAGATATGTAAATGAAAGGCTGCATTTATTTTTCAAACTGACTTCTAGTTTACAACAACTTTACAAGATACACTGTTGGGCAAGTTACTTTAAAACTGTAATGTGTTATTTATGACTTGTTACTGTCATTTCAAAGTCATTTGACACGACTATTACAGCACTTTTGAGTTACTCTCACCAAAATAACTCACACACATTGAACACGTTCAAAAGAACAGTGACCACAGAGGGTTTTCACTAAAACCTGTGTGATTCCAAATCCCTCTGGATACCTACTAAAGTAATTCTTCCCATTACTGTGTATGAAGGTATTCTGTGTATTCTAAAATGGTTGTTTTGTAAATGTAAACATACAGTTTCAGTCAAAATGTAGCTTTTGAGAGAAACCTTCCAGTGTTTTTGCAACTAACAGTTGAGTTTCGCTGTGTCTGTGTTCCGATTGGTTCACCATTGCCATAGCAACCCTGGTCTTGTCCAGTCCCACCCGCTGCTTTCTTCAGTTTAAAATCAGCCATTGCACTTACAAATCATTGTGACAGAAGTGCAGTAAATCTCTCAAAACTTGTGAAAGTGTTATTTTAAGATTTGCTCTTGTAAAATAACTAAGTTGTACTTGTAAAATGAAATTTATAATTGTAAAACAAAGTTTGTAAGTGAAAAAAAAATACAGGTAAAAATCCAAATTTACACATTAAAACAATTTTGAACCACTGTACCTTCATACACAATGAAAATGTATTTAGTTACAGAATATTTAATACCTCCATTAAAATGTATCACCAGCCAGACTGTTGAACCCTCTCAAGTTGGACAGAGTTTTTTCTCTATGGTCCAGTTCCAGACCTTCTGGATTCAGACACAATGTAGAAGGGCCTGGCTGGTCAGGCAAATATTTTGTAATGTATTCTGATACATGGTCCAAGCAGAGTACTCTATTCTGACTACTCTACTCTATTATGAATTCTATTTTTCAGATCTGTCCCAGAGTTTAGTGCTGTGAGTGTGAAGACAGAAGAATACTCACTGCTTCAACAAAGACAAACTGAGCAGAGAGAGGACACACAGGGAGAGGACATCAGAGCAGAGACACACATCCACAAACAGGACACACAGGGAGAGGACATTGCAGAGACACATGTCCACAGAGAGGACATCAGAGCAGAGACACACATCCACAAACAGGACACACAGGGAGAGGACATCAGTGCAGAGACACATGTCCACAGAGAGGACACCAGAGCAGTGACACATGTCCACAGAGAGGACACACAGTGAGAGGACATCAGAGCAGAGACACACGTCCACAGTGAGGACACACAGAGAGAGGAACTCAAAGCAGGGACACACGTCTACTCATAGACTGAGGGAGACACAGAGTGCTCGTCTGACACTGACAGTGATGAAGACTGCAGAGCTCCATTCAGCTGCTCACCTGCACACATGGACACAGGGGTTGATGGAGACAAGTGTGCACCAGAGACCAGAGCCACTGTGAACTATGGAGACATGTCAGGAACTGGCGAAGGAGGTGAGAGCAGGAAATACAAGTTCTCTGTATAAAGAGAGATTTGGGTCTAAATATAGATTACAAATACACAGGAAAGAAATTCAGCTGTTCAGTTTGTAAGAAAGTGTTTGCTATAAACTCTCATCTCAAAACACATGAGTATACACACACGGGAGAAACCATTCAGCTGTTCAGTCTGTAAGAAAACATTTGCCCAAAGGGGTCATCTCAAAAGACATGAAGACACACACAGGGGAGACACCATTGAGCCGGTCATCCTGTAAGAACACATTTTCTGTCAAGAGTTCTCTGCATATAGAAGAACACAAAAAAAAAAAAAAAAATTAATTCATCTGTATACCTTTTTCTTTGCACTAGCAAGGAACCTTTTGGTATTTTTCTCTACTACAGTCAGATTTGAGCTGTGGAGGGTTGGATAAATCACTTCCATGGTTCCATGGTGATTAATTTTGCTTTTTGTTTATTGCAGGTTGTGTTTTGTGTTATGTAGCTTGTACATTTAGGATAGTCTTTGGAGATAACGTTGCTGTAGGGTTTTTGGGTCAGTGGCATAAATTAGTTTCAGTATTATCCTTTATTGTCTATATTTTCTTCAACAATATATCTGAAAAGGCCTACTCATCCGTTCAGCCTATTAGAACACTTTAACATATGCATTATTCTTTACTACAATATCATGCTTACAAAATGACTTAATTTTTTTACTTTTGTCCCATGTGAATACATGTACAAATTGAGTGTATATTCTAAAAGAAGGAAAAACCAACCAAACAAACAAAAAATAAGAAAAATATATCTTTGCAGTCCAACAGTGGTATCTGCTGTACAAGTGTCAACATTATCAAGCGCACCCACAAGAGAACACTGTTGTCTCATAAACCACAGGATAAAAGTGTCAAGGTAGATTCTAAATAATAACGGATCCCTACTGCACCGACAATAATTCAAACACATTCGAGGCATGACATGTTAACCAGAACTCCAAACCATCATTTTGTTTCATTCACACATGTTTAACATACAGATCCTCCATGTTAAGGCAGTTTATGCAATAGCAGAAATCATATGTATTTTTATGTTTTTTTGGCATTTTAGCTTTTATTTTGAAGCTGCTGTATGGACTTCCTGTTGCTATGGCTCCCTGCTCTTTCATGGATCTGCGGTCACCGTTAGCTTCAGACATGAGGAGACGCGGAGGGCAGCGGTAGCGGCTGTAACTTTTGTGCTTTTCTTCAACCAAAGTCTCGCCATGTCCGGGCTTTGGACCGTGAAAGCTCAGCCCGAGGGGAGGACGTGTCTTTAACCAACCCTAAAACGTGAGTGATCCTTAAGTGATTTAGTTTTTTTGTCGGTTGAACTTGTTGCTGCTGGACCGAAGTGCTAGGCGGCTAGGGTTAGCATTCGAGCACTACAAGCATAAGAGGGTGGATTTTATAGTAATTTCGAAACTGAATGGCTAATATTTTTACACAGCCATCATAGTCATATGTTGTACTTCAAATAAGCATGAGATAAAATTCCTTGTTGAATATTTACAGTAAATACGAACTTAAATCGAATCAGCTGTAATTTAGCACGTGCCCACCTCATCTTGTATATTAGCCAATAGAAATGCGATGTGAGTGATTGATGTAGCCACCAGCCAATAGGACTTGTGCAACGTTAGCGTTCTGTTTCATGGATTTACAACCTCAACTAAAATATAAATTTGCTTCACATGCATTTATGACTATGAGTAATTTTGGTTTAGTGTTTTGTTCAAATAGGTGTCACAAAAAAAAAAGGTCATTTTCAGTGATTATAAATGGCGATGTAACCGGAAGCTCATAGAATGTCTTTAAAAATACAAATCAGCTAATTAATACATGCAGTTTAAACAAGAATTGTACATGTATTAATTCATACATTTAATTAATAAATGCGCGTGTCATAAACTGAATGACATGTGCGTGTGGTTGTTCTTGTAATTAGTTGGTGCATCTTGAAAAATTTATAAAAAATAGATGAACGCCCGCCCTACAGGAATCATGAGCCAGTACGAACCTTCGGTGCGTGATTGACAGGTCTCTTAGCCAATAGAAGCCCCACAACAGAGGACCGGGGCTCTATGGGCCGCTCTTTGCGCTGCAGTCCGCGGAGATGCTGATGCTGAGGCAGAGCCCGTGTTGACTCACAGCTAGCCTGGGCTCATTTTTAGTTTATTCCCAATGTTTCTCGAGATGTTGTGCGTTCTAAGGCTGCAGCCGTGCTTTGACCTGTGTGTGGGTGCGCTGCTCTTTATTCTAGCGGGTCTGCAGCAGGTGGAAGCCGACTCCGCCGCCTCTGCCTCCGGCTCGGAGTCCGACATGGCCAGCCTGAACTGGAAGCCCTTCATCTACGGGGGAATGGCCTCGATTGTCGCAGAATTTGGTACGTGATGCATGCGCCACTGTTTAAAAAAGAATATATGCAGTCTATGGCCACAGCACTCAGTTTAATCTATATGATCGTGTGAAGCACATTAAAAACAGTGAGGGATTCCCAAGTGCACAGCGGGCAATTCTACTGTGATATAAACATAATTTGAATAGAGCAAAAATAAATAATATTGATGCAGGATGTTCTAACTAGTGTAAATTAATGCTCTATAGGTCCCATGTATTATTAGTATTGAAAAAAGTATTAAAAATTCAATGTTTCATCAGAAGCACGTGATTGTGGTTAGAACTCTATTAGCACCATATAACAACACCTTACTTTTACAATTTTTGTAACATAAAACAATATTAATTTTACATGGTAGGTTCTGAATAATATTTCTATGACACTTTGAGATGGCTGGCACCTTACAATACATTTGTAGTGAAAATAAGAAAATGATATGTGACTCCTTCAGATGGTTCTTGGGCAGTCCTTCAGTTTGTGGGTTTGCCTCATTTAGAGTTCTCTTTATCTACCTTTGTGTCCTCCTTTGGATATTTTTTTGTTTAGCACCACAGTGGAAATGTTGTAGTCTACTTTAAGACCTGGTTGAGTCCTAGATTAGACCTGGAATGTTGTTACAGACCTGTATTAAGCTACATTTTCTTTGGTCGTACTTGGAGTGAAAACTGACAAGAGCCATTGATGTTGAAGAGGTTAATACTTACTACTTTTAGCACTGATGTTGTATCAGCACTGTTAGCGTTTTTGGTAATTGCATTTTTCAGTTTGCTTTTAAAATTGTAACTCGTACAACTGCATTTTACCATTACAACCAGACATAAATGATTTTAAGGTAACAAGGTGCATTTAATATGTTTACTGAAATGAATTTGAGTCTGTTTTGGTATTAAATTGCAATGATGAGTTACTTAGTAGTCCTCCATCTATAAATAGTCTAGTATCATGTTTTACCTTCTAAATAAAGTCAGATATCAAATTAGTAATGTAAAGTAAACAAAAGCTGCAGGGGTCTCTTCAAGAAATTAAAAAGAATGATTTTATTTTTGGCACGTGACAGTTTTTACACATAAACAAACCTGCTTTTTATAGAGAGATATCGAGCCAATATTTGTAGCACATCGGCTACTGGTCTTTAATCTCCAGCACAGGCCAATTTTATTTTGTTTTGGTCCAACCAGCTGCCTGTAAAGAATACACATATTCTTTATTTGAAGTGTTTAACTGCACAAAACATGACTGCACAGCTCTCTTGAAGGTTTGTGTTTAAAAAATGAAAAGGCAGTTGATGAGTTTATAGTAATGTAACATAATGTGTATTAGCAGACTCTATTGGCTGTCAATTGCTCTGGATATTGCCAAAAGTGTTGTGGTTTGGTTGAATTACAAAATTCTTGGTTTAATACGTTGAGATAGTACATTACAATGCAGAGCTTACATATCATTTGTATTCATGCAAAACATAAACAAAGAGACACTTTTTTCTTATCTTGCTTTCCCTTATTCAACTTTCAGTGTCAGAGTCAAAGCGTTGTATTGTAAAAAGTATTGCCTTTTTTTTTTTTTTTTTTAAACCTGGTGAAGTTTGTAATTTTACTTCCTGGTTGGACATGAGCAGCAGACATGTGACACATGTAGAGGTCATTCCATAACTGTTATCTAGCAACCATAATGTTAACAAGGACCAACACCTGTCAAGCTTACACATCATTAGTTAATATTAGATTCAAAATATAGATACCAGCACCATTATTTTGTTGAATGAAGGTTTACTTCATTCATATTTTTATACTTTTTGTCTCAACCTTTTCTCCTCAAACTGCCACTTAACTCATGTAAGACTATGATGTAAAAATAAAATATTTACCTCAGGCGCAGGTACTATCCCACCAAACCAAGTCAAAATTAGAAAAACATGAAAACCTGTCTTACACATTTTAAATAAACCTGTTAAAATTGAATGTTGTTTACAAAAGCTCTTATGACACAGTGTTATATGGGTTTAATGTTACACCTGTAAGTAAGTCTGGGTGACTATGGAAACAAAGAATACTTTCCAACATAGTTATTTATAGTCCTGGTTAGTCCTGGTTTAGCCTTGGTTTAAGCCTAGAGTAGTTTTTGTTTTGTCAGACATTCTCCATAATGTTAAGACTGTTAACAACAACTAGGACACAAGCTGATTATCAGACTACAATTAAATGCATAATAATTAGATGCAGATAGCATACATAAACTAATTTTGACTTTAAGAGCTTCTTATACAATAGATGTGTACTGGGACAAAACTCATGGAAAAAAAGGTTAATTATATTGTTGTGACTGTATTCTAACCCTGCCCTCTGCGTTTTCTTCTTCAGGCACGTTCCCCATAGATTTGACCAAGACGCGACTGCAGGTCCAGGGCCAGTCTCAGTACACTGAGGTGCGGTACAGAGGCATGTTCCATGCTCTGTTCAGGATCGGCAAAGAGGAGGGCATCCGGGCGCTCTACTCAGGGTGAGGGGACTCAACCATCTCTATTTCATCAGACCAATCTATATTAGTTACTATACTGCTACTGGAACTGATATATCACCCATCCCTAAAATAAATTCTTGGTCGACAAAAAACATGTCCCACCGATCGATTAGTCAACTAAAAGGGACCTCTCAAACAATGTGTGGTCTGAGCTCATTTTGTTACTTTCAATCATACAGAAAACTATATTTTGGTACTAAAACTATATCAAAACTAGATACTCAATTGAGCAGATATTCATACAAACAAACCACATTAACACAACCGAAATGAATCTTTTCTGAACAGTTTTGTAATGATCTTGAGCCTTTTTGGAACTGGTAGTGTATATGGTACCTGAAGAAAATGCCATTCTTTTGTGTTGTGTTTGGTTTGTGTTTTTTCCCAGAGGGCCACATAACCAAACATATTCAAAGTTAAAGGACATGGAAATCATTCAAATGGGTGCTTTTAATGTAGTTGTGACAGAGCCACTGTACTTTTTAATAAGGCTTGGAACATTCATTTTAGGTTTGTGTCACAATACAGTGTAATAACATTGAGTTTATAGTTTTAGATTTTCTCAAATGTGTGTAAATGTGCTGTAAAAAGTTCTGCTTATGATTATTTATTTATTTATGTATTATCAGCAGAAATTCTGTATTTAGTTCTTAAATATTTATCCAACTAGAAAATCTTTATATTATATATTAGGGTTGTTAAAATGATTATCCTTTAAAGCACTTTGAATGACTTAGTGTTTATAACTTGCCTTGATTTTGTTCCACAGGATCTCTCCCGCTCTGCTGAGACAGGCCTCTTATGGGACCATCAAGATTGGTACCTACAACACTATGAAACGCTTCTTTGTGAGTCGCCCAGAAGGTGAGACAGCTCGGAGCTGTAGAATTCCAAAAGGGGGAAAGAGAAAGTTTTCCCTATTGATTACATTGTACTTTATCATATCCAAAACTTCATTCATTTCATCTCTTCATCATTTCTTTTAGTGACTAGACTAAGAACTGCTATATAACCACAAAAATGTGCATCTGAAACTATGACTTGCCCCCATCTGTATTAAACCATATTGGCCTATAAAATGTTTTGATGTCATCTTGAAACCCGGGAGCTGTCATTATATTTTCATTTAATTTCTTTGATTGTAAGGTGCACTATGTAACATGAGAAAACTGCTTACATGATTGCATCCTTTGTGACCATTCAGATAGCCGTCATTCTTGGAGCTCTATTAAAATGGTTTAGTAGAACTCATTTGATGATAGATTTTCTTGTACAGCCTCTTCCTTGAAATGCTGTTTGCTTTTCTCTGAATATACAAACCAGTCAGTCGCTTAGTCATTTGCAAATTAAATAAAAGGTAAACCTTTACTTTCCCTTCAATGTATCAATGAATTATTATGCAAATCCAAAAATTTATAAGACAAACCAAAGTTATGCAATAGTTTCTATAACTGATAAGTGTCTTGAGTTACCATACTTGATAGGTGATAAGTCTTTTCTAGTTTTGTAATTTTGGTAAAGTTGTGTATAATTTTACTTCCTGTTTGGACATGGTCAGCAGATATGTACATACATACGTATTGCCCGTAATATTATCAAGGGCAAAAATGAAACAAAATCATATTATAATGTGACACATAAAAATAATTGGCAACACATTTATTAAATCAATGTTTAAACTGTCATAAAAATGACTTCCGATTTTGACACAAACTTTAGGCGCACACTATTTTAAAATTGGCTCAAATTTCTGAGCACTGCTGAAGCCAGGTGAGAGTAGTGTTTGCAGTTAAAATACATGGCTCATGTCCCTTTTACAGTGTGAGCAGGTCATACGGCCCATACTACAGAGTACACGCTCTTGTTGTGAGATTTGTATGAGATTCAATGGCACAGTGTAAGTTTGGGAATGATTTGGAAGGTCTTAAAATCACACAGTGTAAGTTAAATAGACAGTGCAAGTTAAATTGAATCACATTAACTATGTTTTATTGAAATGAGGGTCATTGGTATTCATGTTAGTGTTGAGTCTCAAGTACTGAAATGGTGTTTGTGTCTCTGTTTCTTTCTAAGAAGATTTAAACCCTGTATCTCTTGTTTACTCATGGTACCTCTGCACAGATGAGACGATGGTGATAAATGTGTTCTGTGGAGTGGTGTCTGGAGTCCTGTCCTCATCTTTGGCCAACCCCACTGATGTCCTCAAGGTTTGAACACACCTCTGCTCTATTGCTCTACTGTGTAGACAGGTTTTGTTATCCATTCAAAGGAGCGGTATGTTTGATTAAAAATTTCATAAGCATGACCTAACTGTGTCTCCAGACACAAGGTAAACATGTTCAAATTAAATATAACTACTACTGATAATAACTAATGCTGATTTGATACTCAAAATTGTTTGTTTAAATTTGATGTTTTGGTTCTTGAGATAATTATCCAATCAGAAAGCAGAATAAGCCTCCTTGAGTCTCTCATTTGAGGTTCCAGTTTTGATGCTGAAATCTAGTTGGTTAAAACCTCAAATGACTCCTTCTGATCTGAATAGTCACTACCTAAACCCCAGCAACTGTAGCCAATTGTAGCTAAATTGGTGCTAGTGCAGCCTCTGCAGCTCAGTCAGGGAATTCTGAAAGATATGAGCTTTTGTTTGGTGCCTTGCTCATAAGACCCATGTCCACACTTTTCAGATCCGCATGCAGGCACAGGGCAGTCTGCTGCAGGGGAGCATGATGTCCAACTTCATCAACATCTACCAGACAGAGGGCACCAAGGGCCTGTGGAGGGTGAGGGCTCAGGGTTCTGTATGTATGTCCATGGAGGAATGTTCAACAGTTACCAGGGTGACATAGTGCATACATTCAATTCAATCAATTTCAGTTTTATTTTTTTCAGTGTCAATCATAATCCCACCAAGGCACCAAAGCTGATCTTACACAATAATTGTCAGACTGATTATAACTTAAAGTTTAGTCCCAAAGGTAGTGGGGTCACAAACATGTCCACAGCCCTGCTCATAGCCCTGCTCAGAACTCTGATCACAGCTCTTCTCTGGCTCATGTCCGTCACACAGTGTGAGCAGTTCAGCGTTTACGACCATCACTCCACACTAGAGGTGAGATCGGGCCTAAAAAATCCAGCCCGACCCGACCCGGCCCGCGGGTATTAAAACCCGACCCGGCCCGAGGCCGACCAATTAACTTGATTTGCAGGCCCGAGCCCGAAGCAAACCCGAAATGTCATATTTTATTTGTGAGGACTCGGGAGGAGGAGCAGTGCTCAGCGTCGAGGTGCCAGTCTTTTGCTCTCGTATGAAAGCAAAGCGCCACATTGACGACATTCAGCGAAGCCAACGCAAGTTTCTGTAGCATTTTCAACAATCAATTTGAAGCTTTTCCACACCTCACTCTTACCGGTGCGTGTTTGTCTTTTCAGTTCTCCTGCTTTTAGTTTAACTTCTTGCTCCTCCATATTGGGGATACCAGGTCAAAATAGATGCAGACTTGCGGAGGGGAAGATGATTAAATTAAGAGGGGGCGTTCACGTGCGCAGAGCTCTGGCTCTGCGGATCCTGTTTAGTAGTTAAATAGCAATTACATTACTTCTCTGTTTTATCCATATTATTTATTTTATAACAAGTATTCCTTAGTTTAGTATCCACACATCGTTTTAGCATACATTTTATAAACATATATTTATTTGAAGCCCGAGCCCGACCCGACCCGAAGTAATGATTGATATTTTAGACCCGACCCGACCTCGGGTCGGGCTTGGGCTCGGTCTTAAGATCTTACCTCTACTCCACACACACCGTATACGGTACAGTGTGAGCAGATCTGTGGTTAGTTCTGTATGAGATTCAGTTACACATTGTGAGTTTGTGAATAATTTTGAATGTCTTGAAGTTGTACGAATTCACACAGTGTAAGTCCATCATGACAGACAAAATGATTGATTTAAACTACACCTATTCAGGAGCCTGTGATCAGTACAAGTGTTCCTGGTCCTGTTTAGGCTTTGGTTTTGATGATTGTTTTTATGGCGAGTGTATTCCTGAAAAACTGTTGGCTGATGCTAACTAGCTTTTGACTGTAATGTTATTTGAAAAGGAGTTAGAGCATTGCCCCCCAGAGAATGTTGATGACATGAGCTGCAAAGTGTCATGTTTGTGTCCGTACACCAGAGGAAGCCTTTATTGACAAACTACTTATAATACACAACATTTGATCAATCAATCAACATTTCAGTGGTCACGGATATGAAATTGTAATGGTTTGGTTGCTTATGAGTTAGAAGTCCTCAACAGTTTCCATTCAGTTCTTTAAAGTTAATTTTGGATTTCTTGCTGACCTAACTTTTGATTTTAATTCTAGCTTTCTGATTGGAGTCTTTCCTCTTTGTCCTCAGGGTGTGATCCCCACAGCTCAGCGTGCCGCCATTGTTGTTGGTGTAGAACTTCCTGTTTATGACATCACCAAGAAACACCTCCTGCGCTCCGGCCTCATGGGAGACACCATCCTGGCTCATTTCATGTAAGGTTTAGTCCCATGATGATTTCTTTAAAACACACATCCATATTCACAGCAGTATACAAAAGCCATTATCAACACAACTATATTTACACATTTGTGTTACAGAGTGGCCCCTTGTTCTTGTCTGAGAGACTCACAACATCCACTATTAACTTTAAAAATGTTAAAAATCAGGAATTGCTTTTACTTTTTTCAGTACTTCAAGTAATTAACAGTATAAAGGCAAAGTGAGTCCACAAGTACTGATTGTGGACGCAGAGGCTCAGGGTGAATATTGCAACTTCTGTCAGTGTGTCCTGGGGCAGCTGTGGCTACAATACTAACATACCATCACTGAGTGTGGAGGGAATGAATACTGCACTGTAAAGTACTTTGGGTGTCATGAAAGGCGCTATATAAATCCAATGCATTATTATTATTATTATTATTATTATTATTATTAAAAGGACTGAAAAAAAATCTCTAAAAACAAAGGCAGCCCATACCATATGGCCCATATGGTCTAAAACACTGTGCAGATCTGAGGAGTGAAGCAATTTTGATGAGGCTAAAAACAATAATTATCTTCAAAGTGCTGTGTTAGTGAGGGCTTTTGGAGCTGAAATGATCTCATCTCTGTCTGTGCACAGCTCCAGTTTCACCTGTGGCCTGGCGGGGGCACTGGCATCGAACCCTGTGGACGTGGTGAGGACGCGGATGATGAACCAGCGCGTCCTGTCAGGGGCGCCGCTATACAAAGGCACCATGGACGGCGTAATGCAGACCTGGAGGAACGAGGGATTCTTTGCACTCTACAAAGGTTTCTGGCCCAACTGGCTCCGGCTCGGGCCCTGGAACATCATCGTATCCTTCAGTAACTCCAAGCACGGCTGTGGAGACACATTGACAGCGGCCATAGTCTAGTTTGGAGCTTTCAGTCAGGCTCGCCCATCTTTACTTGCTACACTTTCAGTACCAGCTCGGCCTGGGTTCTAATGTTGTTATGTAGGTGCTATAACAGAGTTTATCAACCTGTTTAGACCCAAGGGCTACTTCAAGAGCATTAAGTGCTACTATTTCACTTCAGAAATATATATCCATAAAATCTATGCTTTTAAACTAATAGTGTTTCCAAGAGCAAAACCACTGTATTTCCAAGAATCAGACTGCAGAAGTGCAGAGAGTCCTAACAGACAGCTGGGGCAATCCAAAGCCTCTTTCTGTCTACTGTGAATTTAGAACACATTTTGTCAAGGAAAATGTGTGTTTTTGTTGCTTTTTAGTTGCCATCACTGGCACAACAGAGCATTTAGTGCATTCTGAATTGATTTAAGTAGGGCTGTAATTCCTTCACCTTAGTCATCCAAAATTTGTATTGGTCATCTAATCACTATTTAGATCAGAGGTGTCAAACATACGGCCCAGGGGCCGGATCCGGCCTTCAAAACCTTTAATCTGGCCCTCGGCTGATTTTCTACTAAACTATTTTAATGATATTTTCTATTAAAATACTGGTAATTTTCTGCGCCGCTGATCATAGCAGCGTCTCCAGCGTCTCTGTGCGTGGCCCCTCCCACCAGAGCAGCACAAATGAAGAATTGTCTCTTTCCAAATGCTCTTAACAGACGATCGTTTTGACTGTTGACCGTGACACCCTCATCAGCAAAATGTCCAAAATAAGAAAAATTGACTTATTCCTATTTGCATACAAGTTAATGTTAAAACATTGTGTAGAAATTGCATTTTTCTTAACCTCACACTCTCCTCGGGGTCACATTGACCCGAAGAAAACATTTTTTTTTCCTTCCCGCTCTCTTGGGGCGGGTCAATCAGACCAAAAAATGTGTTTTCTCACCTGGCGAGAATTTATTTAAAATACATTTTTGGGTCTGATTGACCTGCCCCAAGAAAGCGGGAAGGAAAACAACATTTCTTTGGGTCTATGTGACTCCGAGGAGTGTGTGAGGGTTAAATTTTCAGGTTGTTTATAATATATTATAATATTATTTTGTAAAAGAAAGAGTTCATCAATTAAAAAAGATTTCTATAATAGATTTAGATGTTATTTTTGTGGTTTATATACCATGAGTTTTCTGATCCGACCCCTTTGGGATCAAAGTCTGTTGGATACGGCCCCCGGACCAAAATGAGTTTGACACCCCTGATTTAGATTAAGGGTTTATATTGGACAACAGCAGAAAAAATGTGTGGGTTAGCTGAAGATTTGGTATTTTTTGGTATTTATATGTAAAAAGTGAAATTAAACTTACTATAAATAGTTGTTTTGCATGAACTCCTGTGCAGGTGTAGCCTTGTGAGTGCAGTTTGGATCAGGTACAGAGATACATATGTTTTAAGAGTGTTTGTCATGCCTCCTTTTTAGTCTGCTAATTGATTGACAGGACATGTTGTTGGACCAAGAATTTCTTGACTACAGCCCTACATTTAAGTTGGCTGCTCTCACTCTAGTTTTACTGCTTTGATAAATATACATTATACAGATGGTGTTTTAAACTGTGCTATCTTCTGTTTTCAACATCTGTTGTCCTTAACTGTGTCCCTCAGTTCTTCATCACGTTCGAGCAGCTGAAGAAACTCCCGTTTTAACCTGAAGAACTGAAGTTTGTATCTCACATGTGTCACATCACTGAAGTATGCAGCTCTTTTCTGCAGCTCATGGTTTATTTACCTCCATTTGGAAAGACTTGAATCTCTCTCCTTTGACTGACACTCCCAAGAAGCATCAACCTATTCTAAGTCACCACACACTTCTGCCCTGTGTAGATAATGTACAGATTTCAAACACAGACCTGAAGTCGGGCACATGTGAATAGAATGTTAATTGTAAATCATTATTCTGACGCTATGTTCTTAAAATTAATTTGTAGATTACTTTGGATTTGAATGAAACACTCTTTATTCTAGTTTGAAACACATGTATGAGTTACTTGTTTTTTTTGTTTTTTTAATATTTCTTAAAGGGCCTTTACCTCATTTCAAACTATGACCCAGCAACATGTTTTAGTTTGAACTTGAAACTCCAACCACTTGGTCCTTTCTGCCTCTGTGACACAGATGTGTGTCAATGATCAGTGAGGTTAGGAAGGAGTAAGGAAAGCAGACAGTGTGCTTCCTTTCAATCCTCCTTTAGCATAGGAATCATGAGAGGTTCCTAACCTGCGGTAAGGAGCTATGCAATCCCATTATCCACTGCCCAGATTAAACAAAAACATCTTCAAATACTCATTTACAAGTTATACATTGCAGCAGAATATTAAATCAGCTAGATAAATGTAAATAAACTCACTTTGTCACTTGTAAAGCAATTGCTTCTGAGTCACAACAGCTCGTTGATCTTCCAAAGTGTTTAATGCTATAATGTGTCTATTGTTTATCATTTTACTGAACAGCTGTTCCCACCACTGGTTACGAGGTTCTTCTCCTCACTCGTCCTTGGTCCTTTTAGTTGACCTCATGACGAAGCTCTCAGAGGTCAAGGAAAACGACAGAGGTGTTTTTGCCCAATTCCAGATTGAGCCAGTGCCATGCAGTTGTGTTCTTATAGTTCTCCTTATTCCCGATTGGATGAAAGGACATATTACCTGAGAAAATGCTATGTTTGTAAAATATAACAAATTAATTGGTCTTATATTTAGCAGTTTTTATCTAACGATGCATGACGTAAAAACATTTATCTTGACACAAATACATTAAAATCAGGTACTGGCTCTTTAAGATAATTACATTAGGACACTTTGACCTTTTGAGTTATGTTACACTGGTCCTAAAATTCACAGGGAAAGACTGACCTTTTTCCACCAAAGCTATATTTTATTTGATGTTTTTTTTTTTTTTTTGACTAGACTTTTCCAGATCATTTCTTTTTTCTCTTCTCTTCTTCAGTATTAGAGATTGTGAGGCTTGCTGCCAAACTGTATGATACTGTTACACTAAAGAGAAGAGTAAATGCTGTACAGACTTCTGAAACGAGAGGGTTTTATCTTCTATTTGCTGAGAGGAGATCAGCTGTTATGAAAATCTATTGTAGCATTGTTAGGTGACGAGTGTGGCATGATGAGAGTACTGGGACTGCTGTGCCAAAAGAATCAATATGCTTTATTATCAGTTTTTTTTTTTTTATTTTGTCAGAATTGTGATTACCACTTTTAATTAGTCACATTGAATTTCACAGTTGGTTTGCAGATAATGACTTATATGGATTATGGATACAAATTGTTCTAGATTCTAGAGAAACCAATGACCAATGAGCTCTGCCAATATGTAGGGTCGAGTTTGATTATTTTTATTTCAGTTGATGTCAAGTTACAGTACTACAAACTCACCCAAAGCCCCCCCCCTTTTTTTTTTTTTTTTTTTTTTTTAAAGAACAAACCTTTTAAGAGAGCTGTGTAGTCAGGTTTTGTGCAGTTCTCTCTTTGCACAGAAGTGTTCAAATAAAGCTTTGTGCAAATTCTTCAGGCAGCAGGTTTACCCAAACTAAATATCGACCTGTCCCAAGTACAAGTGTCAACCCAATATATCTGTCTCTAATTGATATAGAAGAAAAATTGAGCTTGTCATTAATAGAAATGATCAGTATATTTGACTTTTTGACTCAGAGAGGCATTTGGTACAAGCTCAAACCAATCAATATGGACCGAATATTTATTCTAATGGAATTCCACAAAACAAGCCGTACAAAGGCAGAAATCAAAAATGTGCTCACCATTTTGGGCAGTGTGCACTTGTACACGAGGCTTGACTTGTGGGGATGTCAGACACAAACGCACACATTTTTAAGGTTTCATTATTTGTTCTGTAAGGTGCAGCTTTGTTGAACTTTGCTTATTGTTTTTCTTGGCCTTGCAACACTGCAAAATGTTCAAGCAATATTCTCCCTATTCACCCTAGATAAGACTATTTACATTTGCCAGTGGTGGGTAGTACAGCCTACAGATGTACTCAAGTAAAAGTAATGTTAAAATCATGTTTCTCAACTAGAAGGCCAAGAAATGACTCAAGTAAAATATATATTTGGGCAATGTAGGAGTAATTGCAAGAGTAACTGTCAGGAAGCAACAACTGATTTAGAATTTGAAGTGAATGGAATTGGAAGAACAAAAACATTGAAAATACCAGATTTTGTGCATTATTTAAAAGATGGACACAAAAATGAGAAACTGAATCGTATCTGAAGAACAGACTGCAAGAAATGCAAATCATTGTTGACATCTTTGTCACTTGTAGACTTATTCACAGTGGGAACAGTAACCAAAACATTTACTCAAGTAAGAGTACTGTTACATGTACAATATATTACACTTATATAGACATGTACTTGAGTAAGTAACAGACTACTACCCACCTCTGTTGACAACCTAAAAACACTATATTCTGTGGATCTTATGCGAACATATTGTTAAATTTCAGGCAGCTTTTACATAACTTCTCCACTAGTTACTGAAGTTGCTTTTATTTGTGTAGCAATAAAGTAAATTATGAAGTCAATTAAAACTATATTTTATTATTTTCTTTACTATTTAAAACTATTAAAACAAACACATTGTTTTGCCAAATTAGAATGTTATTGATTGAAGCACACTTTGTTAAAAGAAACTACTGTCCCCAATATTTATTTTCATGTTTTGAATGTATTTTATAGTGTGGGCAAATGTACTTTTGCTGTTGTGATTTGTAATGTAACCCCAAAAACTTTTATTTGAATGTTTGTTTTGCTGTAATTTATAAATGAAATACCATGTTTTTATTTATGGTCACCTTTCTTATTTTCAGAAAGAGGATACCGTTTTTGACCTGTACCTTTATCTGTAGCGCCCCCTACAGTCGAGGCGCACTGTTGACTCTTTTGTATTTCCTGGTGCTTTTTGTGTATCACTGGTCTGTGTTTCTGCTTGGGTCACTCTGAAAGAATTAAATCATGTGTGGGTTAATACCTCAGTTTTTCTTTGTCCAAATATTAACCGGCATTTAATGGTTCTATGATATTATGCAAAATTGTGAGTTTTTAGCCGTCTTGGACTGCTGTTGCCTCATCAGAAACATCCCTGGAGTTGTTTTATTGCATTGACACATGTTCGCGCAATTCTTTATTATTAGTCTGTCTACATCTCCAAAGCTGTAACTGAATAAATGCAAGGTGGATTCAAATGATTTGAATAATTGAAATCCACCTTGTGGATCTAATGATTTGAATCCACTGTGGAACCTTTAAAGCAATATCATTTTCATTTTCATCAAATGGGCTCTCCACCAAAACTTGCAGAGTCCTGACCAAGACTAGCTCCAGATCTGGACATGTGTTCCACTGCTCCTGATAGGTTTAACTCAGAAACACTGAAGGATGGGTCAAATGCAGGACACATTTCTTTATGGGGACAGTGTACTTTGGCGTTGGTAGAACAATTTTGACATGCCTGAACAGAGCAGCATTAGAGAGGCATTCTTTTACTTACACAGGAGCCGATAGCTGAGCCAGGATCTGGACTGATGCTGATACCAGGTGCCTCACTGTTTATCAAACACTTCATTTGGTCTTCATTCCTTTGAAAAGAACAGCAGAATCCATATTCCTTCAATGTGTGCCCTTGACCGTGCATAGCTATGCAAGTTGTTTCTTTGCATGAAATTTTCTGCAGTATCACATTAAATAAGAAAATTGTTTATTAAATTAATTTGATATTGCAAAAGAAAATGCTATGGATCCTACCTGTGGACTGAAGGATTACAGACAAACGATCGAAAAAACGATTGAAAAAAACACCAAATGATGTGAATAATAAACGCGGGGTAGGAGGTGGGTGGGGATGAAGTTGTCTTGTCCTACGCTTGTTAGAGTCATAAACGTCAGGTGTGCTCCGTACGTGCGCACCTGAGCTCATTTAACCCCGCTCCGCCCCGCGCACGCCCAGCGGCTCAAGCTCCTGTTTTAGCTCCTATTTAGAGAAAACCAAGAGTTTCGGGCGCGGACATGTCGGCCTGATCTATCTTTGTTTTAGTAGGTTTTGTTTTGTAGGGCTTTCCTACTTGACCAGTTTTAGCTGATTTTAATCGCGTTAGTTTGCACGGGGACATGAAGGAGGAGATCGCCGCCGCCGTGTTCTTCGTGGCGCGGCTCGTTAAAAGATACGGAGCTCTGGGCAATGACGACAGAGACCGGTTTGCAGCGGCGCTCACGTCGGTGCTGTTTGAGAGCTACAAAAACCACTGGCACCCGAACGCACCATCTAAAGGACAGGCCTACAGGTCAGTGAACGCACCACGCTGTCATCTAAAGCGCATCCATCTGCCTGAACCTCGATCAGCTTCACTTTCTACTCTAGTTCATTGTAAAGTTCTAGTAAAGTTTGTCCATGGGAAATTTAAGTCTCTGCATCTGACCTACTTAAATTGCGTTGGTTTCTGCGTGGAACAACAAGAGAAGCCAATGGGCTACTTCATTTGAAATCATAATAAAAGTCATCTGTTTGTCACAGTACTTTTTTCACCACTCTGAAACTGGGCAGTGTTGTAATTGTGCAACAAAACGTCCAGTAATCTTCAGTTGTGTATGGGTGTAGTCTGCAGTAGAGCCATGCTGTGCTGTGATCTATTTTCTGATGTCTCTCCCCACTCTTCATCCCCATTTCACACTTGCAGTTGTTGCACTTTTATTTCTAGCCCTGTGTGTTTGGGTCCTTCAGGTGTCTGCGTGTGAACCGTGCCCGCCTCAGGGATCCCATCCTGCAGCAGGCCTGTGAGCGCAGCCTGGTGCAGTACCACGACCTGGGGCTGCCTCTGGAGTTCACGGTGTGGGTTGACCCTGGGGAGGTGTCCTGCAGGTCAGAGCCACAACAAACTTACAACAAACTATGGAGTGTTTAAATTCTGGAATTATTCTAGTTATTATTGCTCCGGGTTAATGAACTGTGATTGAAGGTACACTACAGCAATGACTGAAAATCATAGGCATTCTTTCCATATGGATTGAGGGGATTTGTATTATGTCCTGCCCATAGACTGTAGAAAGGAGTGGAGAAATTGAGTGTGGCATTACCCACAGCATTTGACTCCAGCCAAATGAAGCTCATCGAGGCCGGCGATAATGGGGCTGAATTTGAAGCGGAGTTCTGCATTAGGAATTCTGACTGTGAATATCATGGCAACCAAAGAGCCAATCATGAGCAAGGATATTGAAATAGCAGCCCCACCCCTACTGCTAGTGGGAGTGACTTTGGGGAAACCAAAAACAATCAACTGATTGTCCACCTTTTTGGGTGCAGTTAACATGTAACATTTAAGCTGTTTTTTTGTTTGTTTTTTTTAAACCTCATAGTAACTGCAGTACAGGTTCTAATGCCAGACTTTTTACAAATCTTTGCCAGTGTTTTAGAGCCATACTCCTGATCCCTTTGACTGTATGCAGATACGGTGAGCGCAGTGCCCCCTTCTGTGTGTCAGTGGTGAACAGCGGTCGCCGTGGAGATGGGGAGTTCTCACGCCGCATCCATGACGCTGTGGAGCGAGCGAGTCTCGAGATCCAATCAGGAAGTTCTTCAGATGAAGAGGAAGGGGTGGAGCTAAGTCTGAGCATGAGCAGTAACAGCAGCAACCAATCAAGTGTTTGCCCCGCTCCCACGCCACCCAGCAACCCCGAACCCAAGACCATCCCCACTGTCAGCAACCCCAACAGCGTGTACAGGGTGAGTGAATCTCCATGTGTGAGGGTTGTCAAAAATATTAAATCGGATAAAAGATACTTAAACTGGTATCAAGACTAGATATTTGAGCAGGTATTGATACTAAAGTCCCACTCGCACAACAAAATTGTGAGACTAAACAAGACAATTTCCCCACCATCCAGTTTGGTTAAAGGAGAAAAAAAATGTGATCTTCATTTTTATTTTCTACATTCACACTCAACTAAACCACATGTGCACTGTAACACTGAAAGATTAAACCAAAATTGCCAAGTTGCAAAGACTTTTTTTGGTATTGTCTTTGGCTGCAAATGACAAACCCTGTCTTCATGGAGTCATATATACTTCAGACAAGTATTGTTTAGATCGTGTTAGGGCTATTTTAAACAGGTTCTTCATAACATTCAATAAAATACTACATTTCAGACTTGTTTTCAGTATATTTCAAATTTTAATCCTGCTGCTGTTGAATAAACTTTGCAGGTGTGCATCAAGGGAGGGCATCTGATTTAAGCTTATTGATGGTGTAACCCTGTTTTTCTGTTTTCACAGTTCAGTGAGTTTGCTCCTGGAGCCCCACAGACCTGGCTCACATACCCAAAGAGGAAGCCCTTTTCTGGGGAAGCCTTCCCACCGCTGCCCCCTCCATCTTCAGGTCCGGCTCCACAGTTCTCAAATCAGAAGAGCTTCAAGTCGTACAGAGCCACGTTCACCTTCAGCGGGCCCAGAGTGGATAAGTACCATTGGGTCAGCAAGTCCCGGTCCTAACGCCCAACTCATGCACTTTGAAACTTATGTTTTTTTCTTTTTGTAACAGTTTTTTGTGTCTTTAAAAAGTAACACTGAATAATTATTGAATGATTTAATTAAGTGCTGTTTATGCATGTTTTTAAATGTCAAATATTGTTTTAAAAGCTCTCGATGTAAATGTTTTAAACTGAAATTGTAGGAAATGTGAATAAAGTAAAGTTGAGCTGTTAATGAAAAGAAATAAAAGCGTCCTTTCAGTTCAAACCTGGCTCTTTTATTACCTGTAGGATAAAGACTAATTCATAACTTGAACAAACTGGATGGATTCTTTGTTAGATGCACTAAAGCCCATATTTTAGACGGTAAAATTTGAGTTGAAGCTATCTTTTATCATTGCTAGTGTGCTTGAGGTTATTGGAAGAGATACGAGTTTTTGTGACTTAACTGACAGTTTAGTTACTGAAGCAGTAGCACAAATATATATTTTTATAGTGAGAGCATATAAATGTTTGAAAAATCTGAACCGGAAACTGAAAATGTGACTTTCTGTTGCGTTTGGATCAGATCGACTACACAACCAATCATATCCACTTTAACATCACAAGGTAGACCTCAATAGCGAATCATAGACTGTCTTGTTGGTATGCGCGTCCAGATTTTGTTCGTTTCCGGTCGTATATATTTTGCCACGAGTTAGCGGCGAATTCGGAGCGTGTCCATTTTGAGCAGCGGTCCGGCGTTTTGTCCAAATTTCAATCAATAGTAAGCACAGTTTTACTAATCCTTTTCACCTGATCAATGAAAAGAAGCCGACACACATGCAGCTTGTTTGTTTTTATCCCTACACTTATTTAAAGCGCTGCAGTTTTCTGGAGGCTTCCACGTTAGCCGCTACGGAAGCTAACAGTTCGTAGCATCGGGTCAATTCATTGCTTTATATCATTTTGCGATCATTTCCAATTAAATGTACCTGTCCAGTCGTTTCGAATCTTACTGAACTCTGATTTCATGCACGTATCCTTCACATGATTAGTGTTTTTTAATGAAACAAAGTGTTTTTAGCTGCAGGGCCTGCTTTTGCACTGGCCGAGCGCGGGTCACTCAAAATGTTAAGCCCGTGATAACCCGCTGTTTATTGGCCTTATCAGCTCTTCTAATTCTGCGCTGTTTTACGGCTGAATTACAACTGATCCGTGGGGATCTGCACACATATTTGACTTATAATGCTTTCGTATTAAATTGGGCAACATTTTTTATTTTCAAAATCCTCTTTTCGCCTCAGTGAATGGCTGAATTAGAGGTGCTGGAGAGTCCACAGTGATGAATGGACCAGGGCTGCTCCTTTTTCCTGTTTAGAATGTGGACAAATTCTCTACTAAACATAAAAAGTTATGCACCCTCAACTTAAAGTTTTGGTAAAGATTATTTTGCTTGATTCAACTTAAATTAAGATATTTTTCTTCAATATTAAGAATGATTTGTCTTGATTTGGTCTTATTTTTGGAATCTTCATTTTAGTAGGTTTATGGTGTGTTAATTTAGTCAGTTTTGTTCAGGATCAGAAACTGTTGACTGATGGAGATCAGATCATCAAAAATTAATGTGAAACTTCTAATATTCAAAAACTTGTGAATATAACATTTTCAAAATAAAAGTTTACATGGTGATCCAGATATGTTATGTGCGAGCAGTTAATACCCCATAGAAGTGTGATTCCCTATTCACACGGGATTAGTTTGACCTGTGGACCTTTGGTGATTTGTATTAATTGTGGAGGATGCCTGAGATTTGAATCCCATGCAAATGTGCCATGTCTATAATTTGTAAAGTAAAAATTCCACTGCAAATGACCTACTATATATGGCCAAACACAGATGTCTGGTCATACTAGTCCTGCATGAATCTGCATCTAAATGTTGTAATTGTGCACCTTTTCTGATTTAATCAATTTCCCTTTCAATCTCTGTCAGTGTCAGTAAAATAGTCATTTATAGACTTTGCGTATCCTGTGCAAATGCACCGCAATTAAAACACAGAGGTGGGGCAGTAATTTGCAAATTACCACACGTCCCCAGGTTGTACTTACCCCTGTGTGTGTGTGTGTGTGTGTATAGATGGATAGATAGATGCAGATTATATATTGAGATCCAGATTATCTATAGTACATTGCACTTGTTTATTACATTCATTTAAAAAAAATATATTCCAAGTTCGATTGTGATCAGTCTCGCAGTTCTGTTACGTTGGAGAGGAGAGGAAAAACTCCTTCAATAAATCCAAATGGGGGTTCATGTAAAATGATAATGCAGTAACACAGATGATTGTGTTTTTATTTGTATTGTTCCTTGGGTCGGTAGGGGCAGACTGCTGTGATGCTGTGGTCTTTTAAATAAAGACTTTTAAAACTGTCAAAAATATCACATTTTTGATCTGGTCATAAACAACTGAACCATGGAAGCTGGAGCTACATGTTCACGGCGTAGCACTAACTTTGCTCTCTCTCTTTAGCCTCTTTAGGAGTAGTCTTGACAAAATGGCCGACTCTGAGACCCTGTTGATGGAGACATCGGATCAGAACGGAGCAGAGGATGAGAACGGTGCTGAGGCCATGGCGGAGGACAATGATGATGGAAACAAGATTGACGCCAGCAAAACCGAGGAGGATGCAGGGTAAGTGTGCGCCCCTCAGTGAGAACCACAGCAAGTGTGTGAGGCACTTGAGTTAGGAGAATAGCTAAAAGGCACAGTATATAATAACTGTATAAACTTGCTCAATTTTCACCAGGGAGAGGGAAAAATAGATTGATTTGCTATAGTGGCAAATGTTTCTGACACAGTTATATGGGTTAAATATAGGGGTTTGTGGTTTGGAATGTAGACCTTTTTGCAATTTCCAAATACCAATTAAAACTGCAATTTTGTAGTATGCAACTTTTGGGCCAAAAATGAAAAGCAAGTTTGTTTGCTATTTCTTCAAGGTGGTTGTGTTTATTTAACTGAATGGCATGTGTTCTTACTCTCAGTGGGCTTGCTTCTTCACAAACATGACTCTTAATTCTCCTGGAGGAAGGCCTCCTCCTGCTTGTTTCCATGGAAATGTTGTTCCTTTGGTTACAGTCTTCCACAGTATGGCCTAAAACATTTCTACCTCCATGGAGAATGTTCCCTTTTGTATGGTTTTAACATTCTATTTCCTTGTCCAGGTGACGTACCACCTCTAGAGTGCAGTAGTAGAGGGTGATGTGTTGTGCTCTGTATACCTGTTAGTGGCCTAACAAGATTGTGTTTTTTGTTGACAGTAAAATGTTTGTGGGAGGTCTGAGCTGGGACACAAGTAAAAAGGACCTGAAGGATTATTTCTCCAAGTTTGGGGAAGTGACAGACTGCACCATTAAAGGAGAACCAAACTCCGGCCGCTCCCGGGGCTTCGGCTTCGTCCTGTTCAAAGACCCGGCCAGCGTCGAGAAGGTGAGCGCTCCACTGTGTTAAACAATCAACTGTGATTTTAATCTCAATGCTTGTTGGAAAAGTTTGATATTTTCAGCAGCAGTTGTACTTATGCGCCTGGATAGAGGTTTCTGTAATGTTTGTAACTTTTTGTTTTAGGTTTTAGAGGTGAAGGAGCACAAACTGGACGGACGTCAGATTGACCCTAAACGAGCCATTGCCATAAAAAAAGAGGGGGGGGAAGAAGATCTTTGTGGGAGGCCTAAAACCAGAGACGTCAGAAGAAAAAATCAGAGAATACTTTGAGACATACGGAGAGGTGTGTTCAAGGCCTGTGTAACATGCTTGTACTATAAAGTGTGTAGGTGAACATATCTAGGTCACTAGCCGCTACACTCCAAATAAGGAGTGAGCATGGGTTTGATTCTAAAAACTGTCACCCCTCTCTGTAACTGTTGCTGTCAGTCACGTCATTTTTGTCTTAAAATGCTCGTATTAATCCACTCTACATGGTCCTGATGTTTTTATTTGACTATTTTGTCCCTGAGTCAAGATATGAACATTAGTAACAGACCAGTCAGGTGCCTTCTTTCCTGAGGTTTCTGATTGACTATTCGGTTGCAATGATAAGTGCGCTCAAAATTCCATAATATGGATTTAGACTCCAGATTAGCTGCTATAACTGCTAGCCTTGATTGGCTTCATTTGGCGTCAAACACTCTTGAGTGAAGTCACACTCCCTTAGTTCACTTATATGGAGCATTTATAAAGATACATATTCTAAATAAGAAGTTAACATGTCAAACTCTCATGTTCTTCACCCTCTTTGTTCACTTGGTAAAACCATGTCCTTATTCCCTTTTTCAGCTGGAATCCGTTGAACTTCCAGTGGACACTAAATCACAGAAACGCAGAGGCTTCATCTTTGTCACATTTAAAGATGAAGCTTGTGTCAAAAAGTGTCTGGAGAAAAAGTATCACTCCATCGAAGGAGGAACAGTGAGTAGAAGCTCTTTTTAAAGGAGACCTATTGTGCAAGAGGTCTTTTATATGTTATAAAGGTTTTCCCTCTTGTTTTACCCTCTAAAGTTTTATTTAGAGCACTTCATGCATGTTTGAGTATTCTTTGTTCTCCTGCATTCAAAACATGACTCGAAATATGTCTGGGCTTTAAATGATCTGGGGCTTATCTTTTTTATAATTAATTGTATTTGTATTTAAGAAGAGGTATTACACTTCTATTGGGTATTCACTACTGAAAATGCTATATTGGTCAAAAACCATAAGAAGGGATGGAATAGGGCCTGGGAGACATTGCCAGATTTCTTAAACATGCATAAATGATCCAGAAAACCTTTTCAGACATGTTTTTTTTAATGGGGGAACAATGTTATAACACGGTAGAAGTTTCCAAAAATATTGATTTAGCATAATTATATTTTGTTTCCAGTGTGAGTTGAAACGCGCCCAGCCGAAGGATCAGTACCAGCGGCGAGGAGGCGGGCGGGGCGGAGGTCAGATTTATTTCAAACTCTTTTTTCCAATGTTCCGTTGGTTTAATTTACTTTATTAACTCTAAACTTCTTATTTCAGGCCAGGGCTGGAATCAGGGCTATGGAGGGGGCTATGGTGGCGGCTATGGAGGGGGCTACGGCGGCGGCGGCTATGGAGGCTACGGAGGCGGCTACGGAGGCTACGGTGGATACGGAGGCGGCTATGGAGGCTATGGAGGATATGACTATTACTACGGGCAGGGATATGATTATGGTACAGCACTGAAACATTTCAAGTTTTTCTCTAATTTCGTAATTTATTTG